CTTGCTGGTTGCTTGCTGGTTGTTGGTTGTTGGTTGTTGGTGGTTGGTGGTTGGTGGTTGGTGGTTGGTGGTTGGTGGTTGGTGGTTGGTGGTTGGTGGTTGGTGGTTGGTGGTTGGTGGTTGCTGGTTGCTGGTTGCTGGTTGCTGGTTGCTTGCTGGTTGCTTGCTGGTTGCTTGCTGGTTGCTTGCTGGTTGCTTGCTGGTTGCTTGCTGGTTGTTGGTGGTTGGTGGTTGGTGGTTGGTGGTTGGTGGTTGGTGGTTGGTGGTTGCTGCTTGCTGGTTGCTTGCTGGTTGCTTGCTGGTTGCTTGCTGGTTGTTGGTTGTTGGTTGTTGGTTGTTGGTGGTTGGTGGTTGGTGGTTGGTGGTTGGGTTTTGCTTCACCTGACCTCAAACTTTTCCTTTGGGTTTCCTTTCAAACCAACCCAGTGGAGACAATGGCTGACTACCGACTAGGGGGAACTGGGATCAACCAACTTTCTTCTCATTGGTTTGCATTGGTGATTTGGTCAAGCGAAAAAGAACAAACATGGCCCTCCTGCAAGAGCCAGGAGTTCAAATCCCATTCCAAGCCACCAATCCAAGCCGAAACGGGCCCGTAAATTCGAGAAGGGTCTCAGCAACAACACGTTTCTGCTGGGTACCTTCCATTCCCATTCTTTCCAGGGATCCGAATCTTTCTAGGAAACCTCCGAAACCCGAGTGAAAAGGGACGGCTTGTGGAATCAAGCCCTAGAACGTTCGCGAGGTGAATCCCATGGCAGCCGGGTTTCAGCACTCTGACAGCACGGCCCGGGTTCCTTGGTCCACCCATCCGACCCACCCCCGTTTTGGACAAGTTGACCCTCCTTTTTCTTGCCGGAGAACAAGCAAAAAAAAAACGGGGATAGGGTGTTGTACTGGTACTGAACAACTGGAAAGTGCACAAACTTTTCAGGCGCTTTTCGTCGGCAAGCGAATCGAGTACCTTGAAGAATGAGCTGCAATAGCCTTTCGCTGGCCAAGCGGGCAGTGATGGAAGCCACAAACACACAGCAGAAACACCCGGCAATGCATATTCAATTGATCAAGCATCAACATCAAGCGAGGCTCGGGGTTTATTTACAAAACCACAAGTGCACCCAATCACAAGCCCTCCAGAGCGGCTCAGAATGGCTCGAATCGTCTGTGGATCCCATTTTGGGACAGGTCTGGGCATGTCTGTTCAGGGCTGACAGCTCGTGGTAGTGGGGTAGTGGGGCGAGGGGGTGTCAAATGCTGGTTGCACTCGTCTCAATCTGCTGACACATGTTTCATACCACCAAAGGTGCGAATTCCGCCACAAACATACACAAGCGCACAGGGAACGTGTGTCTTCGGCTACTTTTGGCACTGACTGAGCCAAGCGTCGCATTGGAGACGTTCAAGAAGAGCGTGTCTTGCCTTGGGTGGGAAAGACATGCTTCATTTGAAGAGGGCCTCATGGGTCTATTCCCTTGCAGATTGACATGGATCCAACAAACACTTGCATCTTCGAGGAATCTCCTTTTCGAGTCCCTTTTTGGTTTGCACGAGAGAGTAACCAGTTCTCTCAACATGGGATTTATCAACGATAATTGATGTGTGTTCCCCCTCCTGCAAGAGGAGAGGCATCGTGGTCCAACACCGGAACTGCTTTGCGATCACCAGCCACTTCTTCAGCGCTAAACTTCCCACTCTTGAACGTGAACCACTGGAAGTCGGGTGCCACAAGTCAATCTATGCCCCCCCGTGGTCTGATGGTGAGTGTGCCCCACATCCACTGGTTTACAGCAGATTCTGAACAGCGACACCTTGAAATGGTTGGGGTTGCAACTGTCAAGGCAGACAATGGCCAGCAATATGATCATGAAAACGGACTGAAACAAAATCCTTCAACACATTGTGGAGAATGCCAAAGCAAAGCGAAACAAATGCACAATCGGTTTTCAACTACTTGAGCCAGGAATCACTGATGGTGGTTTGTCCGTGAAGGGTTCAACCCAATTGCATCGGTGAATTGGCTGGTTCACTCCTGTGGTGGAATTGAAACCTGTGATCGTGAGGCTTGGACTGCAAGACACATCTATTTCCTCCAGTAGAGAGGTTAGAATAAGGGTACCAACCTTTTTGCCGTAGTCTACTTTAGTAGGGGAACCCTCTTCACAAAAAGTTGGTAAAAGGGCACGACTGGAGGACCTAGACATGTGGTACCTTGCCCTGATTGCCCTGATTGCCATTCTTACTGAGCCCGACGGGATTTTTGGTACCCCCCGGCAAGTCGTGCTTTTGAAGGGAGCCCGACTTGCAAAGGTGACTCCTTTGCAGAGGTTTGAAGGGGGCAAAGAAGGGTACAGGAACATCTAAGTGAGCCTTTCTCACAACACCCGCCTCTTTGGGCAGAAGTGCTCCCCAATTTGGTCCCTGGCAGAAAGGGGATTCCCAAGAAGCCTCCTCAATCTAAGATGGTGCCCACTATCCCCAAACCACTCCCCAAAAGCGAAACATGGGGTATACAACCCTGATTTCCTTTGGGGGTAGTGGCTTGGCTGGACTCATTGGTTCGAAGGCTTCTGGGAGATATCAAAGTCAAACAGTGGTTGGTGGTTACCACCGAACGAAGTTGACTTCGATCATGGTGAAATGGTTGGTGGTTTCCCTTTACCACGGGTGAAGTTGATGGTGAAATGATGAGACCAAATTGGGCAGGGCTGTGGGAAATAACCACTTCTGTGATACAACAAAGAGGGGCTCCAAAAACTCACCCCCCAGAAGAGGGGATTCCGTTGTATCACAGAAGGGAGAAACCCCGGGTGATCCCACAACCCAGTTTGGCAGTTCTTGGTTGTTGTTGACCCCTCTGCAACAAGTTTAGCTCTTTGTGGATTAAATGGACAACCTTGATTCCCCCAAAAAGTTAAAGTCCAAAGACCCCCCGCGTGCAGCGCCAAACAAAGTCCAAACTTGTCGTCTGCCACAAAAATGGTCGTGTATCAAGTCCGGGAACTCTGCGAGTGAGAATCGCCAGACAATCACATGTCTCCTTTTAGTTAAACCAGCTACTGTAGACCCCATAGCAACTGATCAATAGTTCGAGGGTAGACAAGTATGTTAAGCCAATAGCAATCAAGAGTAAAGATCCCAGCCAATATCTTAAATCACGGTATTTTACAAACTATATATATATATATATATGTTGTTCCCCCCTTTTGAAGGGACCTACCTGATTTTGGGGCTAGAAATCTCAGGCGCAAAGTCTGCCTGGTCCCTCCAAGGCGCTCCCGGTGCTCACCTCGGGCCTCGTGGATGTGCCCGAAGACGTGGACACGCGGAGACACCCTGAGGCAGACTGCCAACTGAACTCGGCTGCTTTCAGAGGTGGGCCGAAGGTGAGGGCGGAGACTTTGGACAAACAAAGGGGAGACCAAGGGGAAACCAAGGGGAAACCAAGGGGAAACCAAGCGGAAACTAAACTCAGTTGCTTTCTGCTCCCCTGCTAAAAATGAATAACTTTAAGTGGTTTAATACGGAAAACCCATTAGTTGGCAAACAGTTGAAGTCCTAACATCCAAGCAAAATGAACCAAAGTTTAAGGAGCCCTGCGACCTGTCGGTGTTTGAGGGAACTCAAAACAAAACCACCCCATTTTGAGGGTGAAGCATCCCAAAAAGGCTTATTCAGCATCAAACTAACACTTATTTCCAATACCTCATATGTTGTTTTTGATACCTATCCCCCATTTTGGGCTGCCCTCAGATCCCCCGCTAAAAGTTTAACTTGTGGGTTAGATGGAAGCCACTAAACACTTAAGCTAACAGACTCAGGAACCGGATGGGAGCTAGCAAGGGAAGCCAAAGGAAAACCAACTCATTTTGGGGGCGAGGCATCCACAAAAACACTTGTTTCCAACTAATATGTTGCTTGTTGATACCTGCCCCCCCCCCCCCATTTGGGCAGGGGTCACTGGAAATGTCCCCTTTCAACGTGCAAGTTTGCTTCTGGTGTGTTATCATTACGATGGCCATGTTTGGAGGTTCCAACAAGCTGCGCCGTGGGCGCTTCAAGTTGACCCCAGATGAATTGACCGGTTCTGTGGGGAGGTGTTTCCCTCCAAAAGTGGCGAATACCCACTAAAACGGACACCTTGCAAGTAATCAACCAGGTTATTCACCTGAGATTCCCATCAAAGTCACCCCCAAGTGGTAGGGTAAAGGGAAACCACCAACCAGTTTCTGACCCCCAGAAAGGGTTGGTCCAAATGACCTCAGAAGGGGCTTAGGGTTTAGTTTTAGGGAATGACAGTTATGGATAGAAATAAACCCCCAAACCCGAGAAGCTTCCAGCTGGCTGGATGAGGTGCCATGAAAAGTAGTCATGGGGCTAAGGTCCAAAAGGATAGTGCCATGGCACCTCACTGTGCCAGATGGTTTCAAAATCCTTTGTTTCAGGTAGCCTCGAAAAAGCTGCTATAAGGAAGTAGGAAGTGTACTACTCGTTTCCAGTTATTCATGTCCAAAATCAGCCCAGAGGCAGGTTCAAAAACAGAAACTGCCCTATGAAGTTGCCCTGCCAACTGGCCCGGCTGCGTGTTTGGAGAATCAATCAGGTACCATGGTCAAGACAATGGACATGAAACCTCACAAACGTCTCAAGGTGTCTCAGGGCAACCTGTAGAATTTGTTGCTCAAAGCTGGAAGGGAGATCAGTAGAAATCGAGCACTCATCATGATCATTCATTAGCTGAAATGAGGCATGTCAAACCCCAGCAGCCTTCATCAGAAATGTTAAAGTCTGATTCATCTGGAGGACCGTACTAATTAGGGGTAGCTCCCCTTTTAGTAGGAGCATGATCTATTTTGAGGGGGGTTCCCTGAGTAGTGGAGTCCTCCAAATATACAAGTTAACATTGACTGATCGTCAATGCTTGAGTAGCCGAGTAGGCCATGCGATTCGACCACGACCATACGGGCGTGTTTTAACAAAATGGGTGGTTTTGGTTTCCCTTTAAATCCAACCCACAAGAGGTCCTAAAACAAAGACACACCCATACATGGCTGTGGGTCAAAACCAATGATACCATTTTGGGGTAGGTGCACCACCATTTTGGTCTATTTTAGTGGGGATTGGGATGTTCACTGGGGGTACGGGATTTTGACCCATGGCCACATGAATCCATTTGTGCCTGCGTCTTCTCTGCTTCGCACGGTGGGCCAGGCGGCCCAGTCCATGCCGCAGCCTCGGCCAGAAGCATCAGCCCGATGCTAAGCGAATCAAAAACGCGCCTGACGACTGGAAGCGCTGGGGTAGTCAAACACAAATGGCACCGAGAGCCGCGCTGCTGGCAGCCAATGGATCTTGGAGGCCCACGTGAGGTGGCGGAGGCGTAGTCCAAAATCTGGTAGGGGGGCTCATGCCTCAAACGAACGGAAAGCAATGGGCGCACAGCACCCGCCCCCCCCCCTCCCCCCCCAAAGCAGGTGGCTCCCGGTTTTTGGGGGCGTTTGAAGGAAGAACAAACGGAGAGATCATCACCATGGTTGATCTTGATATGGTCTATGAACAAAACAGACACATTGTCTTGGGACAGAAATGATATGAGCTACATAGGCTGAAGACAGCGCGGAGCAGACTCTGTCAGGGCGCGAGATCAGCACATCAACGCCATCGGGGATCTGATTCGAGTTTGCCTCCCGGATCCATCCTGAGCGAGTGGCCTATCTCTGGCCTCCGATGTTTCTCATCCCAGGCCGAAGCCTTTTCCCTCCGATGGCTCCTGATGACCAACATGGAAGCTGAATGGAGGGCCTTAGGAGCATTTGCCCCAAGCATTCTGGACAGTCAGCGGGGAACCTTTGGAGTCAGGAGAAGCCAGACACGTTTCGAGATTCAGGCAGCATCTCAGTGCCATGCAGAGGTACAGTCATTCGCCATCTTGGGCATTCACATGCGTGCTTGGAGAGGTTGCCCATGGATGTAATATCCAACATCATAACGTACCTAGGTCCTCCAGTAGAGAAATTAGAATAAGGGTACCTTTTTTTCTGTAGTCTACTTCAGTAGGGGAACCCTCCCCCAAAAGGGTAAAAGAGCGCTACTGGGGGACCTCGCATACTTACCGGCCCTTGACTTAGCGGCAAGCACCTCTCAGCACCTTCGGTTTTTGGGGCTGGTTTGTTGGTGCCTGGAACTGCCTGAAATCCAACCCCCTTTCGGCGTCCCGCGAGGGCTCTTGGAATATAGGTCCTGTTCTATCTAATCTTGGAGGCCAACAGACACCCCCTTTGACAGCAGGGGGGCCCTTTGAGCCCACCAGCAATACTGGTAGCAACCCTACTGCTGAAAGCTACGCCCTCTGCAAAGTTATGCAAGAGTCCCTCAACCAGAGTCGATGACCGGAAACTGTGCCCACCAAATCAAGTGGCTTATGTTGGGTGGAATGGCTGTCAAGAGTGCTGCACTACAGCCAAACATGCTCCCTCCGCTGACTTTCGCCCAGACCAACTATGCTAAACATCAAGGCCATTCTACGCACAGTACATTCCTATCTGAAGCGGGCATAAGGAAAACATCGCGAACACTTGTAGTGCGCCAGCACAATCTTGTTTGCAATCCTCGCAGCTGACGCCCATGTTCCCCATAATCTGTCCTTCTCTGATACCGCCAATCTCTCCCCCCCCCCCAAAAAAAAAGGTCCGCCATGTGTCCCTCGTCATAGGGCACGGCGAAGATTTTCAGTGGGCCACACTGCCTTTTGCCTCGCAAGAAGTAGTCTGGCATCTCGTCCTTCCACCTTGGTCGTAGATGGCCAAAAGTTGCAGGGTTTGGACCCATCCGTGGTGCTGAAAACATCCAATCAGATATTTTCAGAACGCACTTGACAACGAGCACTTCCCGAGACCCGAGACCGCGAGACCGCGAGACCCGAGACTCGAGACCCGAGGGTGCTGAGCACCAGACACCTAAGGCCCCAATCCGCCTCGCGCTGATACCTCCAGTCGGGGCCCCCGCGCTCGGCCCCGGTCGTGGTTGCCCTTCACGAAGATCTTGTGCTTGAACGGCAGCTCCCGGAACCACTTCACAAAGTCTGGCGAACCGGGTGGGTGTCTCTCCGCTTGAAGAAATGGTGGCTCGTCTTCTTTGCGGTTGGAACCCCCCAAAATTCTAGGTGACACGTCCATTCCCATTCTTTCCAGGGATCTGAATCTTTTCAGAAAACCATCAGAGCCCCAGGGGAAACAGATCCGGTTTTTGGAAAATAATGATGGTTGAACAGAATGGAAAAGGCATCAACCCCTAGAAATATGCGTGGCTCGTCGTCTTTGAGGTTGGAACCCCCAACAAATTGGGTGGCCTTCGTGTTGGTTTCCCTTTTAAGCCAAGCCCAAAGAGGGCACCAACTGAAAACCGTGAAGAGATCACCAAGCCAACGGCCAGTTCAAGGGGCCGAGCCATCCGACAGAAGCCATGGTCCACAAAGGGCATGTTTTCGCGGTTTTGTTTTGGCAGAACGGTGAAACTCGATGGCAGAAGAATTCCTTATCCGTTAGGTCCTCCAGATTTGAGAGCTTGGAACAAGTTGCTACCAACTTTTTAGAAGGGAAAAAACGGGGAGCATCTTAATTTGGTTGGCTAGGTCCTCCAGATTTCAGAGGTGAGAATAAGTTGGTACCCGTTTTTCTTTTCTTTTTCTGTAGTCTATTTTAGTAGGGGATCCCTACCCCAAAACGGGGTAAAAGGGCACTACTGGGGGACCTTGTTCAGTTGAATAAAACGGGCATCCTTGCTTGGGTGGGTTGAAAGGGGAACTCTTCCCAAAAATGGTGAGAAAGGGCAGCGACCGCTGCAGCCCTCAGCTCCAAGTTCTTCCCGCCTTTGCGATTGGTCTGCCAATCCTGGTAGTCGGACTGGGCGTCCCCGCAGTGGATCAGAATATCCTCAGACGAAACGAGTTGGACGCAACGAGTTGCGTCCAAAAAAGAGGAAAGCCAAAAGATGCCAAAAGCAAACTGGGTGCTGAAATAAGGTGGTTGGGGGGGGCTATTCCCCACATAAACCACCATTTGGGGTGAGGTCGTGTGAGGTCGATCTAAATTCACCCAAAAGCAATGGTTGCCGTGGCGGAAAAGTCCACCTCAGATTTGGTTGGGCATGAAGGAATCCGCAAATATATCCAAATAGAAAGGCTTGTCTCCAAAAGGGTCATGGAACACACAGTGCAGTGTCCCGCAACACCAAGTCCCAAAAAGAGAACCACCAACCTGAAACAGACAACTGCACCCTCAAAACTTTGTTGCTGTTGACCCCTCTGCAAAAAGTTTTCAACTTTCTGCGGATTGAGTGGAAAACCCAACTTCATTTCAACCAAAAGTCAAAGTCTAAAGATCCAACCCACTAGTCTTGTCAAGAAAGTACCGGTTTCTCTTTGGATTCCGATTCAAGAAGAATCCTTAACAAGCAACACACAATTAGAGCTCCAGTGGTCATGGTTGTTCTGCTGCTTGTTTTTAAAGGGAGCCCCTCAAAAGAAACACGTGGCAGCTTTGGACATAGAAGACAAATCAACCATACCCATCCAGAAGCTTGAATCCCCTGAAAAGTGATAGGAGTACAAACCATTGTTGGGACGTCTCAAAAGAGTCGGGTTACCCCCCGACAAATTGGAAATTCTCCGTTTGGTTTCCCTTTGAATCCACCCTTTCGGTACCCTCAATTCTGGAATCCCATTCGGGGGGTTGGCACAAGGGGGTGGGTACTTGGGAGCCGTCCCTTAGGGAGCCGTCCCTTAGGCAGCCTTAGGGAACCTCCCTGGACCCCCCTCCCCCTTGAGGATTCCGCAAAGCTACGCCTCACCAAACCCACAGACCCCCCCTAGGTTAGAATAAGGGTACCAACTTTTTTTCTGTGGTCTATTTTAGTAGGGAAACCCTCCCCCAAACAGGGGTAAAAGGGCGCTACTGGAAAAACCTAGCCCCGCTCTCGACCGAGGTTCGCCCTTGGGCACTGGAAGCTGGCGATGGAAGCCGTGGGTATCACTCATCGCCACCACGCGCACGCCACTCCCCGCGCGCGCAGGATTCTGCGAGCGGAGCCCTGGAAGAGCCCGGGGAAATCTGAAGAGCCCCAATCGCGAGCTGTTGAGGCAAGCCACCCACAGACTAGGGGCAACCAAGTGAAACTTTGACCTCAGGATTTTACAACATGGTTTCCTCATAGGTGTCCCTTTGGAAGAATAGACGGCTTTGGTGAATGGAAGATACTAAAATAACAGTGGAGCACCTATGTAACCCTAGCTCAAGTACTGAATGTTCAGGTTAGAAAAACCACCAATCGCCTTGCTTGTAAGTTGTAGTACCTAAACATGCCCTTGAAGCCTAATATCCTCCTTCCAATCATTCATGGGAGTGGACGCTTGGTGAGGATGGAAGTCTTCCAAAATCCTTCCCACTTCCATAGTTGCAAACATGATACGCGCTCACCTTGCCAACTTGTCCAGGCATGAGCGCACTGGGCGGATCCCAATCGACCATGGGATACTGGACATTCACCCAAACTACTGTGGATGGACGATAATTTGCACTACCCAAGAACCCTGGAATGAGGATTCCCCTGTAAATACCAACAACAATGGTTTCCCATAGTTTCAAAGTGGTGCCGGATTTATTCCATGCACAGTATGCTGTGCTAGCATCTTTAACCACCCCCTCATTGTATCAACGTGTGGCTGTGGGGATTGACCGTAGCTCATTGCCGCGATCACTATCAAATACAACCATGGACACGTGCACAAGTAGCAACAAACGGACCCGTATGAAAGTGACCTTCAGAGAAAGAAAACACTTCTCGCAGTTTGCGAAGCATTTGAAGCTCAGCTAGGTGCTCCAGCAGAGATGTTAGAAAAAGGGTACCCTTTTTTCTGTAGTCTATTTTAGTAGGGGAACCCTCCTCAAAAAAAAGGGAGAGAAGGGCATACTGGGGGACCCTGCACCATACTGATGGAGGTTCAAACGTCGCTTTTTCTCTGTCTGGTTTTCTTCTCCATGTGCGGAAAGTATCACATGCGTAGATCCAGAAACACGGCTCAGTCATGCCTTCCGTTTGGGACACTGCGCAAGACAAGCGCCATGAGTCAAAAGACTTTTTCGGTGAGTCATGGGTTCTATCAATCTAAACTGATTCTGGAACTCCGCTAGAGCAGTTGGTCTTTTCAACAATGGCTGGAGGGGCACAACTTGTTTGGCCATACGGGTAGGGTCAAAATACAACCACCAGGGGACCGCAGGTTTTAGTCTTTGGTTCCCTTTACCAGGGTTCCATTTGGGGTACGCATTTTTAACCCATAGCCATATGTGGCACCCTCAAAATGTGGAAGTTTTTACCGTGTAAAGAATAAGCGTTCACCTGTTCGGCTTGTCCTTCTCATCATTTGCAATTCTGTGCCTGCATGTCAACATATAATATACATGTATATTTAACATGGCTGTGGGTCAAAACCAATGGTACCATTTTTGTGGTAGGTGCACCACCCATTTTAGTCTATTTTAGTGGGGATTGGGATGTTCACTGGGGGTACGGAATTTTGACCCATGGCCATTTGGATCCTGCTTAATTTGTTTCTTTCAAACACACCGCTCTACGTCCGGCGCCTTTTGACCCACGCAAATCTAGAGTCTTGGGAATCTTGAATCTTGAATCCAAAAGCGCTTTTAAAGCGCTTTAAAGCATTTTGAGGGGGTCAAAGTTGGAGTCCCTGAAAAGGAAATTGCAGGGCCTGAAAAGGGGGTGGAAATCACACAAAAGTACTGTAAATACTGTTAAATTCTCTTGGGGCGTGTTTTGTTTTTTTTGGGGGGGGGTACCATCTATGTATATATTGCTGTGGGTCAAAACCAATGGTGCTATTTTTTGGGTAGGTGAATTCACCACCCATTTTAGCACCTATTTTAGTGGTTGGATTGGGATGTTCACTGGAACGATTTGGACTTTGACCCATGGCCATATCATTCTGCGCAAAGAAGCCAGGGCTAACCACCATGAAAGCCCAAACACACTTCACGTGGTTGACGTTGGAAGGGGCGCAAAATTTAAACTTTAGCAGTTAAGTGGGGATTTCCCACTAAACCACAATAAGCAAAACTGTAAAATGTTGCCCAACGACAACCATGACTTCCCCCCAAACGACAACTCCTTTGAAGATCCTGTTTCCGACATCATGGAAGTGGACAGGCCCCCCGAAAATTAAAAAGTATTCCCAGGCCTTCTCAGCTTTCATTTGTGAATCATTGGGTGTGTCTTTTAATGTACTTGGTAATTAATTCCCCCTTTTTAGGTTTTGAAGGAACATCAAAAAGGAAAATTATTTTTAGACTTGGAACCCCTTTTTGTTTGTCAAAGGAACATCAAAAAGGGAAACCCCCCTTTTGGGGCATCCAACCTCAAAACGACCCACCCCGTTGCCTCTAACCCTTGCGGTTCCGCCTGTGCGGTTTCGCCGAACACGCTGGGCACCGGCGGCGCTGGAAAAAAGCGCCAGAGCCCGCCACGGAAGATCCTGGGCGCGTGGCCCAGTGGACGAAAATCTAGAAAACGATAGAAAACGGTTTGGATGCGCTTTTTGTGGAGTTCACCCGTCCTTCCCCCTGTAGGGTCTTCTTTAGTACTCTTTTAGCAAAAACTTTGCTCGACTCCACGTGGACCGAACTTTTCTCTAGGAAACGGCTTGGATGCGTTTTTTGTGGATCCACCCCTGTAGGATGAGGTTGACCCCATATGGCTGTGGGTCAAAAATGCGTACCCAAAATGGAACCCTGGTAAATGGAGCCAAAGACTAAGACCTGCGTAACGCCAGTTGTTTAATTTTGAGCCACACCCATATGAATCAACCCCAACTCCGAAATACGGGGGGTGCCCCGCCAAAAGTGATGATTCCCCACTAAACCCAGGGACACCCCCCCCTATTAAGAAACTTGGTTGACTAACATGGGGTCAACATCATCCTCTATCCCTTAAAACATGAATGACATGCACATGATCCCCCAAGCACACAAGCATCCGGCGTTGACTTTTGGTTCTAGCGTGGTTATAAAGGATTATCTTGGTCCTATTAGAACCCACAATGTGAACCCAGGTAGAAAAAGTGGTAGATAAAGGTGTATCCCCGAAGTTGCATTTTAATCCCCTGAAACTGGCTGTAGCCTACCGGTGTATAGCATATAGTGTGGGGTCATGGCGGGAAACACGCCCTTAAGGGGTGCGCGACGGACAGTATTACCATGAGGTAAAGCGGTGCAAGAGTAGCTCTGAGACTTGTATGCAAGATCCAAGGCCGTGGTAACATTTCAATTCAGACGGCTTGCGACGCCATTCCCCACATGTCGCCCACTCACTCAGTATTGATTGCATGTTTATGGACTTGGGCAAGGACCGCACAGGGATCAAGTCATACAAATATCACCTTGGAGCAGGAAGACATTTAATTGCAACGGCACTCGATTGCTCTCTGCTCTAAAAGTCTAACTTTCGGCGGTTTGATTCGGAAAACCCATTACGCCAAAAGTTAAACTCCTAACATCCCTTGGATTCCGTGGGCAACATGCACCAAAGAACAGGCACAACCACATGCGCCATTTCAACGGCAGCGACGGTACCTAACCGCCCCGGAGCCTCTCTAGCTCCTCGGCTTCGGGTGTTGCTTCCCCCCGTAACCTCCAAATACCCGGCCTTTTTTGCAGGGTATCATGTCGACCCTCTACTGAAAAAAAGGGTAGATACCATGAAAAACCAGGTTTCCCAAAAATACCCCCCAACAAAAACTGGTATTTTGAGTGGGGAGTAGGTTTCTCGGTGATGGGGTAGGCCACTGGTCGGAAACATATTGATGGGTAAACCTGCAGCCGCAGTCAAGGGAATGCCGGTCAACCGGCCGTTCCACCAAACACCCCGTTTGGGTCTGTCTTTTTTGAGGGTACCCGTGCCTGGGATGAGTTGCAAAGGGAAGCTAACAGGAAAACCACCACTTTGGAGGGGTCCAACCTTAAACTAGGTTTCTGCAGTAGAGAGGTTAGAATCCGCCGACCCCATGCCTGGTCCAGAATGGACCATGCTTTCGGCATGGGGGCGGTGTGTTCTGTGTTGCTTTTGTTGATATGCTTTCTATAAGTTTCATGTGAATATGATTATGTAGATATATATATATATATAACCTATAAGTCCCTTGGGGCGGCCCTTGGGGGCTGGTGGGGCTGGATTTCTCCCTGGATTTCTGGATTTCTGGATTCTCTGGATTTCTGGATTCTGGATTTCCCTCCCCCCCCCCCCTCCTCCCCCCCCCCCCCCCTCCCCCCCCTCCCCCCCCCCCCCCCCCCCCTCCCCCCCCCCCCCCCCCTCCCCCCCCCCCTCCCCCCCCTCCCCTCCCCCCCTCCCCCCCCTCCCGTCTTCCGTATCTTCCGGCTTCTCCCAGTAATCTTCCGTAATCTTTCGGCTTCTTCCCGTAGTCTTCCGTAGTCTTCCGGCTTCTTCCCGTAGTCTTCCGTGGTCTTCCGCCTTCTTCCCGTAATCTTCCGTAATCTTTCGGCTTCTTCCAGTAGTCTTTCGTAGTCTTCCGGCTTCTTCCGGCTTCTTCTTCCGTAGTCTTCCGTAGTCTTCCGTAGTCTTCCGGCTTCTTCCCGTAGTCTTCCGAAATCTTTCAAGCTTCTTCCCGTAAATTTCCGCAATCTTTCGGCTTCTTCCCGTAGTCTTCCGTAATCTTCCGGCTTCTTCTCCTAGTCTTCCGATACTGTTTCGGGACCAAACAACGCGCGTGTCCTGTGCTTTCGGGCTTCTTCCCTAGGCTTCGGGTAGTCTTCCCCCACCCCTCCGCCCCCCCCCTGTGTCTGTCTATGTCTGTCTACGTATCTGCATCTGTCTTCGTGTCCGCGAAGACCCCCCCTGCCCCTGCGTGTCTGTCTGTCACTCTTTGTGTCTGTCTGGGTCTGTCTGCGTCTGTCTTCGTGTCCGCGAAGACCCCTTGCGTGTCTGTCTCTGTCTCTGTCTGTGTCTGTCTGTGTCTGTCTACGTATCTGCGTCTTTCTTCGTGTCCCCCCCCCCGCGTGTCTGTCTGTGTATTTGTGTCTGTCTGGCTCTGTCTGCGTCTGCCTGCGCATCTGCGTCTGTCTTCGTGTCCGCGAAGACCCTCCCCCCCGCTGCGTGTCTGTCTGCGTGTCTTTGTGTCTGTCTGTGTCTGTCTACATATCGCGTGCTTTCTCTCGTCCCGGGCCGAAATTCTAAGGTGTGTGGGGGCGGCGGAACCAGGCCGCAGGCCATTAAATAAGAGTACCAACTATTTTCTGTAGTCTATTTTAGTATATAGGGGAACCCTCCCCCCCAAAAAAAATGGTGAGAAAGGGCACCTAGCTGGGGGACCTAGTAAAACAGACACGCCCATGTCGAGTTTTCAGAGATGTCCACCAGGGCGCAAGCTCGGATGGTCTGCCAGTTGACTGCGGACGCTGTGGCTTCAGCACGAGCTTCAGCGCCGGCGGTTCGAATGGGGCAAAAGCTTCCATGGGGATGGCGGCCATTGGGTTTCGCTAGCTGTTTGTTCAACTTTGACATTCGACTCAATCCCCCGCTCTTGTTCTGTCCATGTCGGCTTTCATTTTTCCATGGGTGGCTCAGAAGGCGAATAGCGCCCAAGATCAAACCCAAGGTAAACACACGCGTCCGAATGTGCCGTGATTTGAAGTACCACTGCCCAATGCAGATGAAAATGTTGACGGCTAACTTTCTTGCAAATTGATTGCCCCACGTTGAGTTTTGGTTGTGTTGTGTCTTGGTGCTACCTCCAGTAGAGAGGTTAGAAAAAGGAGACGCGTTTTTTTTGTTATTGTCTATTTTAGTAGGGGCCAAAGGCTTGGTACTGGGGGACCTAGTTGGTGGGCCAACCGTAGGGGCATACTTGCTCAACGCCTTGGAGTCCTCGAGTCAGTTCACGACATGCGCGGAAAGAGCCGCTGCGGCGCGCGGACATGAGCAAACGCCAAGAGCTGTGCGCTGAAAGCAAAGGGCTCACTGGCTGAGTGGATGGCCCAAAAAAAGTCCAAACTTGATATTTGCCACTAAAATGGTCATCCCAAAAAGTTTAAAGTTCATGAACTCAGGAAGTGAGAGGGAGACCTGACGAAGGCCCCGACTTGTTGAACTGATGGGGAGGTTCTGCTTTAAGAGGCTGGGACCTTCTCACGGGACCTCTCACAAAAGCGCATGGTTGCCCTGGAACTCCAGGAGAAAACGCCTTGGCCCAAGTATTGAGGACCCGTTTGGGCTTCCGTATTCCTCAAAATGAATGGTATGGGCCACAAACAAGAAAATATGGGGGTTCCAAGTGCTGGAACATCCCAGGAGCTTTTCCCACAATATTCCCGCTGCGAAGCCATTTGTGGATTTGGTCATATGAAACTCCATATCCAGGTTGACGTCCTTCGGTCATCAGGTTGTTTGCCTTTCGGGTTTACATGGTTTCCCCTTTTCAGTTTCGTGGCTCAAGACAATTAGATCACTGGCACATTCCACGTCGTGTTGAAAGGCTTTGTCCCCTGACAAACCGTCTGTCAGGATTCAGACCTCATGTCCATCGTGCACTGTAGAGGTAACTGGAACAAACCCGAGTCGTTCCATCGCAACTGTGCAGATTCCTTGGCTGGAACTGGGACCCCAGCAACAAAAATATTGTTTGTGCCTGGTTAGTGGAAAACAAAGGGACCCCAAAAAAGCAAAAACAACAAACAAAAAACGCCTTTTGAACCCTGAAAGTTGCATCTTTCAGCTGGGGAGAAAAACAATCAGGTTGGAGGTTCATTCAATCCGAGGAAGCCATGATCAAAATCCTCCACGGGCCAATCCACACCGTGGCTTTCAAATGCGCTCTCTCAAGTGGAATTCAAATGCGGCTTTCGGGGGTAGAAGGCTACCAACTAGCCCAAGGGTTTAGCTGCCAAGCTGCAACTCCGATAGATAGGCAAGTCACTATCCCTTTGGTAGGGTGGCTGCTTGCTAACCAGGCAAATAGGTTCACATGAAGAAATCACCTGGCTGTAGCTCAAAAACTACCAACATGGCAGGGGCTCAAACCTGCGGTCCATATCCTGGTAGTTTGGCATAGCCACCTAACTGATGGTCCGAAGCCGCGCCTCTCTTAGCCTCTGCTCCACATAGTCAGTGGCGACTGCCTTCGCCGGCCTCACCGGATGAAAAAAAACACTCCCGTACCCGCGGGCCGGGGTCTGGCGAAGCACCCCATCAATATGATGCCCAGTGGCCATGGGAAAAAAGGGCATCCTTTTTGGTTGGTAGAGTTTGAAGGGAACTCTTCCCCCCCCCCCCCAAAAAAAAAAAGAAGAGGAAAGGGCGCCACTGGGCAACTGGGCTTATTATTCCGGAAGGCTTGAGGGCTTGTCCTTGGCTTCTCCTGTGCTTATCCAGGTATATTCCCCCCCCCCCTGCATGGCCCCCCTAATCGTCCATGACATAATCCAGGGTCGATTAGGGGAATATCACACTTGCCAAGTGACCCCAAAGAAAAAGGACAATTCTTCCGGACACAACCATCTTGGGTGGGCAAACCAGGGCTATTGTCGAACAACTCCCCGCGATCTTGGTAGGGACCAACCTCCAAAAGGGAACCCAGGATCAGGTTGACTAACGGGGGTTGTCCCATTTGCAAGGTGCTGCTCCTTTGCTACTTAGGGAAGCACCCCATCATTAATCCACAGGGTTGGTGAAGTTCCGATGAGAAAGAGCCTGGTTGCTCCCACTGACCTATTAGATATGATGATGGCTTCCATTCGGTTTCCCTTCACCAACCCCAAAGAGCGTCCCCTCAAAAGACACACCCACGTGCCCAAATGTCGCCGCACATGAAGCCGGCTCTTGGCCACCGTTGAGCACTAATCACCCAATTCTGGATGTTTATTTGATCTCTTGCTGGCGCTTCAATGGATGTGCGTGGCCCTATTCAAGCGCCAACCAGCATCTTCAGGGCAGGGTTACCGGGATGCTGCCTCCCGTACAAGCTCCGCGTGCCATGATAGACTAAGGTCCCTCAAGAACAATGCAAAATCCGGCATAACAACACGAACTGCTTTAGGCGTCCGCCCCCAGTCTGGTCCGTCTATTGCTCATATCTGTCCCGTCCGCGTCCACCCTCCAAACCCTGTGCTGAAACAAGGCCCCCCAGCAAAGGACGAAAAGCCTAGGACTCACTGGACGCCTACCCAGGGGAGATCAAAGCTGGGGTTGGCCTTTGAGCCAACAACTCGAACTGTTTGCTTCGGGGAAAGCGGGCATAGTCCAAAAGGAACAGTTTGGAGTGAGGGCCAAACCAACTAGGGCTCAGCCTTTGCCCGACTTTGTAGGAAAGAATGGGACCTGCATGCGGTTTGAGTCCCTGCATTTTGAAACACAACACGGAGGATAACCCAGTGTTAGCAACTTCGCCATTTACAGACACCGTCCGAGCTTTACAAATACAGGGCGCCGGGCAACAAAACAACATGCCTTTAGTGAAAGCAATCCTTCCACCCATATCTAAGCCCCTGGTATGAACCACCCGAAAACGCTTCTTGGCGAAACCATGTACCACGGCCGAATTGTGGGTGACCCAGCCACCAAAGAGTCCGAACACTGACATGACATCATTTTCTCTGGCTTTCTTTCTAGCTCCCCCTAAAAACAAACAGAAAGAAAGCTGAACTCCGAGCCAACCAACAACCCAACCACCACCGACGTCGCTCGCTGGTCGCCCAACGTCGCCCCACGTCGCCCAACGTCGCTCGGGTCGCGGGGGTCGCGTCGCCTGCAGTTCCGCAGATCCTTGGCGAGGCCCTCCGCGAGTGTCTGCACCGCCGCCAGCCGCGCCACAGAGCCTCGCTCGGTCCCAGGAGCTAGCGGAGGCAACGCGAAGGAGAGGGAACTCCAGGGTCCACGGTTTGGGGTGTGTTTGGTTTTTGTTGGTTTGTTTGGTTTGTTTGGTTTGTTTGGTTTGCTTGGGTTGGGTTTGAGTTGGTGTCCGTTTTTGGTTTGGGGTTGGTTGGTTCATTCGGGTTTGACTGTGAGCTTGCTGTTGGTTGGGTGGCTTTGGCCTGGGTTTCAGGGGTACCTTCCCCATTCTTTCCAGGGATCCCTCTTTTCAGGAAACCATCAAAAACCCAGGGGAAACAGAAGGCCAAATCTTCGACTCCGCTACCATGCGGAATTCAGAGAATCTGTGATCACCAACCAAGGCAGCAATGCTCGGCTTTTGTTTCTGATCCAAAGTGTATGGATCATCATCAAGGCAGGAATGATTGTGAATATTTCGATCAACCAACCCAACCCTACCCAACCAAACCCACAAGAAACCAAGCCCACATCCCAAATCCCTAGACTCACTTGCCCAAAGGACCCAGAAATACAAGGTTAACCTTGTGGGGCCATGACTAAAACTAGACCAAAAAGGAAAAACCCGATTCGCTTTAGGCAACTGAGCAGAACCCAACCCCAAACCAAACGCGGAGAAACCCAAACAAAAACGAAATCGACGGAGAAAAAAAAAGGAGAACAAAAGGAAGAAAAGCGGATCGACAAAAAAAACACTGCGAAATGAATTGCCAAACAAGAAAGGAAACAAACGGAACTCCAGGAGGCGGGATTCGTTAGAAAATATTCGCAGCGATTCAGCACGGCTGGTAGTGAAATAGAACATTGGCTGAACTGGCTATGAACCGTGGAGAAGGTTGTATTCCAAATTTGCAGTGCGAAAGTTCAACACGGCATATTCATAGGTGTCCTTTTAGGGGAAATAGATGGCCCTGGTAGATGATTAAACCACTAGGTAAACCACGAATCGCCCTCTATCTTTCTACCAAACCAACCAAAAAGGACACCTATGTGTATGACTTTGCTCAGCCAGATCTCGGATTTCGACTTAGCCCTGAAGTACCACTCCAGGCACAAATTCGAGGAACAGGCTAGCCACCAGGGACCAGCACTGACATTGGAGCGCAAGGATTCAAAAGATTGCTGATCAAAAGAATCTGTGGATCAACAGACAAAGACATAAGAATCTGCTCACTGGCTGAGTGGATGGCCCCAAAAACGTCCAAACTTTATATTTCCCAAATTTGTCTTCCCAAAAGTTTAAAGTTGAACTCAGGAAGTGAGAAGACGTGGATTCAAAAGAATCTGCGGATTAGTTCTGCCAAAGGATTCGAAGCCAAAGGACCCCAGAGAGGACATACAATCGATTGCAGCATTCAGTCAGCAAAAAGGAAAGGATTCAAAGGCAAAGGATTCGACCAAGGAAAAGGGACAGGTGCAAATTCGTTGGCTTTGTGAACATGTCCGAGAAGTGTGAATGGATTGAATGAAGATCGGGTTAATGAGCCCTGGCCTGATTCGTGATGATGAGAGACTAATCTATGAATTTCGCAGGTTGGTTGGTTGGTTGCTTGGTTGGCTGGCTGGCTTCTGTGTTAAGGTTACAGTTGGGTGACACTGGCTCCCAGTACACCAAGAGGCAACCAAAGCGCTTGGCTCCCAGTTGGGTTGGTTTCATCCGCACGAAACCAAGGGAATTGTGCCAACTTTTCACGGCGCCCAAAAGGAAGCCAAGAGATTCCCAAAATCATGGTCATAGAATAAGGGTACCGTTTTTTTGTCGTTTATTTTAGTAGGGGCACCCTCCCCAAAAAAAAGGGTAAAAGAGCACTACTGAGAGACCTAGTCTGGAATCTGTAATTGTGATTTCTGGGGTTGTTTCCGATTACCTCCCCTAAACTCCAAGACCTCATTTCACCGGTTTCCAGGGTCAGAGGGTGTCATATTTACTCATAGCTCCCAGCTGTGATGGCTTAAGTGGTCTTTTTGACCCGCCGTCTCATCTTAGTTGCTCAGGTCCTTATAGTGCGCTCCCAGGCTGAAGGGGGCAGAAGGGAAACTCCTTGCAGAAATGGCAGCGCTTGCAAGAAACCCCTACCGATGCCCATATCTAGTGCACCTTAAAATGTGGCATGATGTCAAAGGTGGTCCCAGGAACAATGGAAGTGCACAGGCTTGCTTGGGAAAAGGGTGACGCACTTCCACTTTCGGAGGATATTCTACCTGTTTGACGGGTAACCCGAACGCTTTCAGGGGACAAACATGACTCCACTCTATTCCGAGGAGCCTCCTTATAAACCCGACAAACACATCTTGGGGGTCAGACCAGCCTAAAAACCCACGGAAACCGTGTCCACTTTACACGGATAGCTCTGCCTTGACCCAAAAACATCCAGGTCTCCAGTTCTTGATCCAAAGCCCTGCCAGACCAAGTCTTGGGATGATTTTGACAAGACAAATCCATGGCTGCTTTCTGCTCCCTTGCTACCAGTGAATAACTTTTGGTGGTTTAATTCGGAAAACCCATTCGTCGGCAAAAACTTAAAGTCCTAACATCCCTTGGCAATATGCAACAAATAATCATTCAGATGACCTCTGCGCAACAAACAAATAGTAATGGCCACCTTCGACTAACTGGACCCACCTCCTCCCCCTAACCATCAATCAACCGGCTACAAAGGAAATCTGGGCTCCCAGCGGGCGATGAGGGGCTGGCTCTCCTCACCTTCCTAGCCAGCGAAACTAGGTCCTCCAGTAGAGAGGTTAGAATACAGGCACCCCGACTTTTTCTGTAGTCTATTTTAGTAGGGGAACCCTCCCGCCAAAAAGGGGAGAGAAGGGCACCTAGCTGGGGGACCTAATAAAAGATTGAAACCACCTGCTTGGGATTGGAAGTGCCAACGGTTCACAAAAAGCCCTACATCCTACCTCAACCTGCGGCTGAGTTAAGATGTCTTGAGTTACTTTCCGGCGGCCAGAGACCAGAGACCAGTCCAACCGCTGAGTTCATCTGTCGCGTGCCTTCTTGAAATTACACCGCCAGGCAAAGATACCATTCCCTGTTGCTGTTATCATCTTGGGAATATGTTGTATTACTTCTATTTGGCTAAGACCCTGGGGAAAAAAACACCTGATAGGTTCCCTGTAAAACCAACGGGGAAACATAGAAAAGTATTCTTAAGCAAATGGAAGACAGGGAAAGGGTGATGACCACATCCCAGCCAATTAACTCTCAACAACTTGGATCATCTCGAAGGAATGTAGCCCACATTCCGAGAAACAAAAGCTAAAGGCACATTGGGTCGAAGTACTTTGCTGGCCAGGCGAAGCGTTTGCTTGCAAGCTGAGCTGGCCAAAAAACAAATTGAAACTTAACATGGCCAAAATAAAATCCATCTGCTTGAGTTAAATCTCAGCATTTAGAACTCATTTTACTGCAACCTCAGCTGGAAGAATGATCTTAATACACTTTTGGCCGATTGTTGTTCATTACATTTGAACCGCGGCCTTTTATTACTATTTGCCAAAACACTACTATTGGTCAAAATACTAATAGTATTTTGTCCAAATAGTTAGTAACCTTGCGCTTTGGCAAAAGTATTCTGAAACATGCTAATGACTGATATAATTCAACTTAAAGCCATCCATGCTTGCGTGTTCATACTGGGTGTACATACCTGCACGTGACCAATATTTAGCACTGTTGCTACTTGCAACAATACAACTTGCTTGCATGATGATGTGTGCACATACCAAACATGACACCACCACCAACAGCCAACCTTCAACATGGATTAGTCTCTCAAACTCAGCTCCGTCTTGCTGGTTTCATTGACTTCCCGATCACGGCACAGTATCGCTGTACCAAACTGAGGATCCTCTTCTGGGCTGTCCTCAGATCCCCCGCTAGAAGTTCAACTTTTAGTGGGTCAAATGGAAAACCGCACTACATGCTAAAAAGCTAAAACGCAAAAAAAGCTAAAAAGCTAAAAAAGCTAAAAAGCTAAAAAAGCTAAAAAGCTAGAAAGCTAAAAAGCTAGAAAGTAAGAAACCAAAAAAGCTAAAAAGCTAAAAGCTAAAAGATAAAAAGCCAAAAAACAAAGGGGATCCTCTGGGGGAAAGTTTGCACGGAACCAACCTCAAGCTTCTACGTTGGACGCAGAGAGGTCCTCCTGAAATCCATCCTCCGCGAAAAGCCAGCCATCTTCCAAAACAATGTGCAACCAGGGACACCTCGAAAAAGTCGGGAAAAACAAACAGCTTGACACGTCACAAGAGCTGTCTCAACGTGCGACCGAAACTGGATCTGGCCATGGACAAAAGCCTGCATCACCTAAGAAACCCTGGAATGATGATTCCCCTGTCAATACCAAGAAAGAATGGCTTCCCATGGATTCCCCTGTCATCCACACCCACGCAAAGAAAACTCAACATGGCCCCAGAAAATCTTAGACCCCGACTCCGAAGCGATTGAGCGCCCGGCCGGACAGAAGAAAATGAGTAGGGACATAAGCCTGGGTCGAGGAACACGCCGACCAAAATGATCTAGTCGCCCTGCGGAAAGCGCTGCCGCGCTGGTTGCTTGCTTTGGAGTGGGTAGGGGCACACTGCGACAAAAAATGGCTGTGGGTCAAAAAGAATTGCCAAAATTGCAGCTTGGCAAATGGAAACAAAGATTAAAACCTGCGTAACGCCAGCTGTTTAATTTTGAGCCACACCCAAATGGACAAGCCATGAAAAGCTGATGACGGACGACTGAGATGATAAACAAATAAACAAGTCTTTGCCAGGTGACGCATGAACTCTAGGACAGGCAGCTACAACATCAGCAGAAGATTAACATATTGCAACCAACCCACTTGCCCACAATGTACCTACAAGGCAATTACGGAAATACTAGGGAGGGTGCTTCTACTTGCGGTTTGGAAATTCCCTATTGACGTCAGGGCGTTTGGGGCTGGTGCAAAATCATGAACACTTCATTCTATGCCGTAAGTCAATCCCCACGGGGAGTTTCACCCTGGCGTAAATGTGAGTGTGGATGTGTCTGTCTGTGTCTGTGTCTGTGTCTCTGTGTCTGTGTGTCTGTGTGCTTGAGTTTGTGCTTGTGTCCGCGGGTGTGTCCCCACCCAAACAAAAGTGAATGGCTATGATTTGTCTCATCCTAATCACGACGAACAAGGGGCTAAGTGGGTATGTGCTAATGAGTGGGGTGGTGTCCTTTACTTCCCCTTTACCAACCCTGGCTTAACAAAGCAAGCAAGCAAGCAAGCAAGCTAGCGAACGAACGAACAAACAAACAAGCAAACAAACAAACACACAACACAAACAACTAAACACACAAACAAACAAACAAACAAACAAACAAACAAACAAACAAACAAACAAACAAACAAAAACACAACACAAACAACTAAACACACAAACAAACAAACAAAAAACAACAACCAACCAACACACAAACAAAACAAACAAACAAACAACCAACCAACCAAACAAAACAAACAAACAAACAAACAAACAAACAACCAACCAAACAAACAAACAAACAAACAAACAAACACACAAACACACAAACACACAAACAAAGAAGCACACACACACACACATACACATGAGCCACAATAACACACACCAAACAACATACAAAGACAAACACACCACAGGTGTACCCCACCGGGTTCCCATTTCTGAGTGTCCGTTTTGGCAACGGCGTCTGCTCTTGCGCTTTGGGGCGCTGGCTCGCAGGGCGCCGGCCCCTCGGGCGGGCGTGCCTGCGAGTTGGTCGCATGGGTGGGGTGGTTGGGGAGCTGGTTGGGAGCTGGTTGGTTGCGCTGAAACTGACAAATCACCAAGGTGCTGGTGCATTGATGCCTTATTGATCCCTTAGGGATCACTAGGGGATCACTAAGGGATCAATGCACCAGCGACTTCCTTTCAAGCCGAAATCAACAAAACAGCAAAGGATCGATAAGGAGCAAGTGCAGAAATAAACAGAACAGCAAAGGACCAAGGAGGAACCTTTCTCGCGGGAAGCGCAAGTTCTACCCCTTGCTTGCCATTCAATGATACACCAGAGAAAACGTCGTCACCTTCTAACTCTCAAAGGGCATCCCTGTTAGAGAACCCTCACTTGTTGGCTAGGGTGAACTGCTGATCCAGTGAGCGCAACTGGTTTACACAAGCAGAGTTTGGTTCCCTTAGTTTGCGGGCAACAAAATGACCCTACTTTGCCATTGATTTCTTGCTGGTCTTGTACATCGTACCCGCCTGAGCGGACATGTCGCATTTTAAGGATGATCAGCAGTGTTTGGCCAGCACAAGATACCTCGACCCTCTTGACAAGGCATCACGAACACACTTCATCGGCTTTGTGAGAATGAATGGAGTCGTGAAAAGAAGTTCCAGGAGATCAGTGGCAACTCCATATCTGGGCTGCCCTCAGATCCCCGGCTAAAAGTTTCACCGGCAATGGGCCCAATTCGGAAACTGCGACTAAACCCCAAAAAAACCTAAAAGGCTAAGGAAGCGGATGGCTGGGAGCCACCAATGGCCACACTCAGCTTTGCTGAGGCGGGCCCCCCCCCATTTTCAGAGAGATGAAAATGGGTGGTTTCCCTTTTGGAATCATTTCCTAATTAGCCAAGGCTCTAACAAAAACGGGCGCTGTTTCAAGCGGAAGCCGAAGCGAGCTGAGTCACACTCAAAACCCAGTACTAAAATGGTCGATCCCCAGAACCATGCTTCAAGAATCAAGAAGGCGGATTCCGCAACTATTTCTGGTTGGGACTGCCCCTTACCCTTCATCTACCCGAATCGGTTTTAAGCACGTGGCTCAGCAGGGATCCTTACATTCTTTACCTGAACATTGCCTTGTAAATAGTGGTTTCCCTTTATTTTGGTGGGTTAAAAGCCATGTTTCAAATGGTTGCAAAATGAATTTCTTTGAAGGAGCCCTCAGCTGAACATCCAGGTGGAGAGCCTCGGCTCCTCCTCCCCCCGCCATCCTCCGCCCAATCTGCCTGCGCGCGGAGGTCTACAGGCGCCCAGCGGACAAAGACGCCAGCACTGGGGACCTGCGGAACAGACCGTGCAATGCAAGGGAATCCACAAAATCAAACTTATGGGACACACAAAAAAAAAATGCGGTGTTTATGTGTTTCTTCTTTGTTCTTTAATAAAACACGTATCCCACAAAAATCACACACACACACACACATCAAAGAGTATCCACAAAATAGAACAAAATCATTGGATCCTTTTTGATTCCTTCTTTGGGGCGACCCGTCTACTGTTTGATGGAAAATTGACTATGGCACAGTGTGGGGTGGGGTTTGGCCGGAGCTGATCTCGGAACCTGAGCCACTCGACAAACTGATGCCGGGTTGGAGACAAGAACTCCAAAAATACCGTGGCTTCCCTTTTGTTCCCCCCAACACAAAACTTGGTTTTCCTCGGATCCCCTGCGAAAAGTTTTCAACTTTTAGTGACTTAACTGGAAATCGACACTAAACCAGCTAAAAGGATCTCAAAAGCTAAGTTGAACCGGATGGATGAGCGGAGCCAAGAAAACACACCAGATCCACAGATCCACTCCACAGTTTTAGCCCAGTCTGCCAGTCCGAAGGTTCCGTGCCTCGTCTGGCGCCTCCAAGGTCTTGAGCAAGGCTTCGTCCAGGACCCGGGCTTTGACATAGGCCTCCCAGAAGCTCAAGCAAAGCCAATGGCTTAAGCCAACTTGGTTGCTGGCAAAGACCCCCCCCCGCAGAAAGTGTTCAACGAGGTTTGTTGCTTTACAGTTTTCAACTATTTTTCTTTTTTTGGAAGGTTTGGCTTGCTTTAGTTCTAGGGCTTGAGTCCTCTCCCATTCTTTTCAGCCATCGTTCTTTTCAAAAACCGATCGCCATTTTCTGAGGGTTTTTGGTGGTTTTCTAGAAAGAAGGATCCCTGGAAAGAATGGTTGCTGCAAGGACCCCCTGCAAAAAGTGAATAACTGTTTGAAAAAGATCCAACCCAATAGCAGTCAAGTTGAGTGGTAAGCCAGTGATAGCACACTTTGTGGTTCCTGTCACTTGGTAGCCACTTCTTATTCTGTCACTTGGTCGCCAACTTGATGTGGTTCTTGTCTGGAGTGGGTAAGCCAACTTTGGCGCGTGGGAAACCAAAGGCAAACCAAAGGGAAGCAAACCCTCCCGTCCACGAACTGCCAGAGAGGGTGGTGGTTGGATTCCATGTTTATGCCCAGTGTGAACATGTTCAAACGAAGGGGGGCCCCAATCCTGGAGCCTTTTCGCGCCTCGCAGCACTGGGACAATGCCACGTGAAGCTGGTCCTCACAACGAACACGGGCATCTCCATCCGCCGAGTCCACGGAAATTCGCGAATCCAAAACGGGGGTCCCCCAAAACAGGATTCCCCTACGATGTTTACTTTCCATCATCTGCATTCACTGGGGATGCCAGGCTCTTTTGCTACATTGCTTGAGAGTGTGGCATACCTCCAATCAGGTAATCAGTCCTTTAAAGGACAACCGTGTGATTCACAACTGTTGCGTACTGTCATCATTTTGGGCTTGTGAGGATAGTCGAATGCGTTTTTTTGTGGGGTTTTCATAGTCGCTTCGTTTATACATTTGTTTTCAGGCAACTATCTCGGCGGTTCATAGTAACCATCCTGGTAGAGGTAGAGCTTGACTGGGACACATGGGGCGACGATTGTCACAGTGCTTGCATCGCGAGGCGTGCAACAAGCAGGTTACCATTCAAACAGTCCATCAACACATAGTAATAATGTACGTACATAAATCCGCAAATATAGACACGTGAAGAGACACACGCACAGACACACACACACACACACAGACACACACACACAGACACACAAACACAAACAAAAACACAATCATAAACACAAACGCAAATGCAAACACAAACACAAGCACACACACACAGACACACGCACAACACACACACACACAAACACGCTTAGAAATCTAGCACATTCGAGTGGCACATCCGAGTGGGTGTTTCGAGTAAAGAGAAGCGAGTCACTGAGTCGTTAGGTGAATTCAAGCCAAAACTGAGTATTTACTTCAAAGGGAAACAAAGCAAGCAACTGCGGCTACACACCCACACCAATCTGTGTTTGTGTGTGTGTGTGTGTGTTTGCGGACATCAAGCGGCTTGATGTCATTGCAAACTGACTTGGAACAGTCAAATAATTCATGCCTTTCCATTGCCAGCAACGCCTGAGCCTCACGTACACCCTCCAGTCAACCAGGCAGCAAAGCGACATGCAAAAGGCCTCGTGCATTGAACAAATTTGGATTCCCTGGTGGGATGACCTTTTGGAGCTTTGCAAGGCGGAGCCCTTCGTTCCACCATGATGGCGGGTTCACTGTGGAGGAGTATCAAGGCTCACTGAACGCGCGCCGAGCGATGCGGCTTTGCCCCCCCCCCGCCCCATTTTAAGGGACAGGGTTGGAGTAACGTTGGGACTGGAATGGAAGCTTCCCTCAAGAAAACATGCGTGCACGGGGCTGTCCTCAGATCCCCCCCTAAAAGTTTAACTTCTAGTGACTTAAACGCAACGGGAACCACCAAGCACACACCCCTGCTGGGTGTCCCCTGCCGTTAGGAGCCGCATCTCTGAGAAGAGAGAGCCGAAGACGTCGCACTCCCGTCTCAGGGCGATGGTCTGCCTGCAACGGCTCGGTTGACGTCGGAAGGGGAGCGAAAAATTGAATTCTAGCAGCTAAGTGGTTGGATTTCAACCACCCAAAAAGTAAGCTTTGGCAGTTAAGTGGTTGGATTTCAACCACCAAAAAAGTAAATTGTGGCAGCTAAGTGGTTGGATCTCAACCACCAAACAAGTAAACTTCAGCAGCTAAGTGGTTGGATTTCAACCACCAAAAAAGTAAACTTTCGCAGCTAAGTGGTTGGATTTCAACCACCAAACAAGTAAACTTCAGCAGCTAAGTGGTTGGATTTCAACCACAACAAATGTAAGCTTTGGCAGCTAAGTGGTTGGATTTCAACCACCAAACATGTAAGCTTTGGCAGCTAAGTGGTTGGATTTCAACCACCAAACAAGTAAACTTCAGCAGCTAAGTGGTTGGATTTCAACCACCAAACAAGTAAACTTTGGCAGCTACGTGGTTGGATTTCAACCACCAAAAATGCAAACTGGTTGGATTTCAACCACCAAAAATGTAAACTTTGGCAGCTAAGTGGTTGGATTTCAACCACAACAAATGTAAGCTTCAGCAGCTAAGTGGTTGGATTTCAACCACCAAAAATGTAAGCTTTGGCAGCTAAGTGGTTGGATTTCAACAACCAAAAATGTAAGCTTTGGCAGCTAAGTGGTTGGATTTCAACCACCAAAAAAGTAAACTTTGGCAGCTACGTGGTTGGATTTCAACCACCAAAAATGTAAACTTTGGCAGCTAAGTGGTTGGATTTCAACCACCAAAAAAGTAAACTTTGGCAGCTAAGTGGTTGGAGTTCAACCACAAAAACAAGCAAGCTTTGGCAGCTAAGTGGTTGGATTTCAACCACCAAAAAGTCAACTTTGGGAGTTAAATGCTTGGAGTTCAACCACCAAAAGAAAAACTTGGGCAGCTAAGTGGTTTGATTTCAACCACCAAAAAAGTGAACTTTGGCAGTTATGTAGGGATTTCAACCACTAAACCACAATAAGCAAAGATGCAAAATGTGTCCCAACAACAACCATGGAGGTGCCCTACATCTTCGCATGGGGTGTTCTTGTGCCCCGGACATCGAAATGGGCTTGATTCGTGCTGGAGCCCGGTTCGGTGTTCCCGGGGGTTTCCCATCCACAGCTCACTTGCCAGGACCTGCAAATGAAAGGTTCACCTCTTGGGACTACAAAAAAATAGGCCAAACAGGGAAATCCCGAAAAGGTCAGATCCGGTCGATTCGCTTTGAAGAACTGAGACAAGAACCGGAGTTTCACCTTTCCAAATGGGTTTCCCTGGCGCTTTCGCGGCTCCCTGGAGAATCTGGGAACAGAAGCCCCGAAGGATTTTAGGGACACTCTCTGACAGAAAAATCGGACCTGAATCCGCGCGAGTGTTGCTCTTGGCTATCCTAACAATTGAAATCTGACCAGAGGACATGGCCTTGATGCGAAGGCTTGAGCAACCCGAAGTTGTGCACAGCTCAAAGGATGTGGGCGATGTCAGAACTCACAGCCAGTTCGATTCAATTTCCGATGGCCGTGGAAGCTTGATCATTGTGATCGCGGAGACTTGATTGGTTCGGCAGTCTGACTGTCAAGTTTGAGGGCTTCTCCCAGGGTTTTATCGCAGGCTGGAAACTCTTCGCTTGGACCTGGGGGCATGCCCCAATAGAGGACATGAATGATGAATCTATAAGATTTCACGCCTTCCCCGATCAAGCTCCGCAGCTTGTCCGAATTGTATAGTTGCTTGCAACAAGCTATAGGTCAACATGGTCAACCCACTCCTGACAGTGAAACATTCCTCTGGCTTCTGCAAATAGGGATTTGGAACCCCACGATTTGGATGTTAAAGGCACACCCGCGACCTTGCACCATACGAAGCCGATGGAGACCCAACCCCCCCCCCCCCCGGGGAAAACACAAATAAATGCAAAGACCTCACCGGTCGACCCAAAACCGAGACCCTGGGAATGGTGTCTGCTTTTGGGCTGTTGCTCAAAAACATGTACCAACATGGCTCCTTGGTAAATCAAACCAAAAACTAAAACCTGCGGCCTGCCCTAGCTCTGTGGCTGTGGGCAAAACCTTGGTACCCAAAATGGGTTGCCCTGGTAAATGGACACATGGTCTAGACTCATAGCCTTCTATCAATCCGTGGCCCCTCTTTCCGCCCAGCCAGCGCGCCTCATCATTGATCGGAAAAGGATCCTCGGCTCCGCGCTGCTATTGGCGAGAGGACTCTTCACACCCCCATGGTGCTCTGGTTCATTTACCTTCAACCCCCCCCACCCCCCACAAGACAAAAAAACGAAGAAGAGCGTATACCCTCGAAAAAAGTCGGAAGACACCCCCACATGGATGTGGGGGTGTATGTGTCTCGGCATTTTATAAGAATACCATTGATGAGCTTCAGGAAATCCAAAGCGAAACCATCCAAAAGGGGTCGTTGAAAACAGTCCACGTTTCAGGTTGCGAAGGAGCACCTAGAGCTCCCTTTCCAATTTCGACTCGACCAACCAGATGGGTGTGTCGCAAATAGGGGTACCTGGTACAAATGGCTCATGGTCCTTCCCTTTGAGCTTTTGTCGGGTCCGAACATTTCAGGAGACCCCAACAAGTTAACCTTTGCTCCCCAACCAAGAACAATGATAGAAGAAAACCCACGCCAAATCCGCTCTTGGGGCACCCCTTTTCAAAATCCCGCTTAATTGGCAATGGGGTCAAACCAAAACCCCTAGCCATTCTTGGAATGCTCTCCTCAACATTTTGCGTTCATCAGAATGCATGCATTGCTTTCTAAACCTGCGAGTGAGGGTCTAGAAAAAACAAGTTGCCCATCCCCTGATGGTCTTCCTTTTGGACAATATGACAAATAATAGGCTACTTCCCCTCCCTTGAATCATGGAAGCTGGCGGGAATTACACAACACTTTGGTGGAGCCCCCTTGTCCACTTCCATGATTGTTAAACTTGCTGGCGCTCAGTAGGGAATGAGGGAACCTGGGCGTCCCCTAAAAGGAAACACAAGGAATGGTTTGTAGGGTCCTTCCCTCATTCCCTCCTGAGCACCTGCACAGGGATCACTCAAAATGAACCGCAAACCAAAAAGAACGAAACGCTCACGCTGCGTCCGGGCGTCTGCTTTTGCACGGTCTGCAGGGCCGCAGCACCTCGAGTCAACGTCCAAACGTTTGGGATGTTTCGAACGGGAAGCCAAATGAAAGCCACTCATTGTAGGGGTGCCAAATGCATTTGGAGACAAACCGATCAAGGGCATGTTCTGTGGGGTTTTTGCAGGTATGGGATATGGTTTTACCAACATGTCAGCTTGTCAGGCAGTGTATACCTCTCATAGAACTGGTATACAACCTTCATAGCGGTACCTGAACTTGCCGCTGAACAGGCGCCATCAACATATTACGGTTGTGCGAGACAGAGCAAGAGAGACAAACAACCGGAACGCAACTTCCGGAAACACAGACTGCCGGAACTGTTCATATCCCCAACAAAAGGATCATCATGGGGCTCGATCGCAGTTCTAAGCTTTGGTTGTTTGCTGCAATGTGCACAGAACCATGCGTTCAAGAATGAGCTATTCACCAGAGATCAGTCCATGTCTATCCAAGGCCACTCCCTCATCCTCACCCCCCAACTATGAAAAGCGCGGGACCCCCTCCCTCCATGCATTCTGCACAAGTACGCTCCAATTCCAGACAGAGCTTGGGTGGGAATTTGCCCATTTCAATCCAGGGTCACAATCGTCATCCCGTGATCTGCACCAACTTGATAGTGTTTCAAAGGCATGTCTGGCAATTGTTACTATCCCAGGCCCAAAACCAAATTTGGAAGGAATCTGGAAGGGATATTCCGGCTCCCTTTTGGTTGAAAATGCATGGGCTTGCCTGGTGGATGAAAAACATCGGCCAACCAATCGCCCCGACGAGTTTCGAAATCAATCTTGTATACCTATGGCAAGGGCTTGCAAAGGAGACTTCCGTGTTGCCCTTTTCAGGTTGGCAAAAAGGGAAACCAACCACCAAAAGGAAACCCACATCAACGAGGTGACTCTTTTGTAAGGGTATCCGTTTTGCAGGTGCTGAAAAAGGAAAGCACAAGAAAAGCCACATTATTTTGAGGGTTCCCCCATCTAGATCCTCCAGTAGAAAGGTTGGTACCATTTTTTTCTGTAGTCTATTTTAGTAGGGGAACCCTCCAACCAAAAAAGGGGAGACAAGAGGGCACAAATCTGGGGGACCTAGCCATCTTGAGACACTGAGGCCAGCACTGTAGGCCAGAGCTCCTTCTGCCGCCTAGCGCCAGATTCAGGTGCTGCCCCACAGGAAGTGAATCTGGCACATCCCGCCAGCCAGCAGCAGATGGGTGAAAAAAAAGGCGGAATCCACCGGGCAACTGGGCCATCTGGCTTCAGGAAGTCCACTAAAGTGATTCCAACTGGTGGAAAAATGGTCCATCCACAGGACCAACGTCAGATTCCATGTGGCCATGGGTCAAAATCCAAAGCGGTCGATTCAATCCAACCACTCAGATAGGTAAAATGGGTAATGAATTCACCTACCCCAAAATGGGAGCTTATTGAGTTCAAACCAAAAGCCGCACGTTCAGCGCGCGATCGAAATATCTTCGCCTTCGCTTCTGGTCAAATGGACAAATGGCCGGCTGCTACTTGGCTCACAAAACCAGGACATTTTGGTGGTTGTCCTTGTGGTTTCCCATTGCGGGACCTCAAAATGGAAGGCTCTTCGGTGGTTGTCCCTTTAATTTCCAACCCCAAGAAATAGGTACCGGGACCCTCACAATTCCGACTTTAAAATGGGTTATTGCCCCTAACACATGGTGTGAATCCCCCTTTCATGGGCAGTTTGAGGGTCCAGGTACCCAAAACACACGCCCCACATGTCCATCCTACTGAGCACGGGAGGTGTTCCGACCACAAAAAGCCGGGAATGACATGCGCTGGGAGCCACGAGAGGTCTTTCTTTTTTTGAGGCTACCTTCTCGCTGGCTTTAAAGGGAAACCAAACAGGAAAACCACCCCCCAAAACAAAGGGAGGCCCGAGGTTTTCGCAGTTCGAATAGAACAGCTCAAAGGCGAATTTGTTTCATCGTCCGCAAGAGCGGCGAATCAGTCTGGGACTCACGAAATGATCCATGAAGAGTTCAGGAACGCGCCAACGCGCCATCCTTGCAGGGTCCAATGGGTTTTGAGACATATGCTTGGTTTCAGGCAGCCCTCTAGGTCCCTCAGTGCCCTTGTCTCCCCTTTTTTGGCTGGGAGGGTTCCCCTAAAATAGACAATCCAGACAAACAGTTGGTACCCTTCTTCTAACCTCTCAAATCCGTTGGACCTAGCAGGTTGTAAAGAACCAGCCCAGGAGTCCTTGCCCAATGCTATCCCATACCCCTTGGTCGATGTCGAGGGGAAACGTTCCGGGACATCCAGCAAGCATCGTCCATGCATTCTTCTTGAAGAAAAACATACGCATGCGCGGAAGGAACACTAGCGCTGGGGCGCCTCAAACAAAAAAAACTGTTTCGAAACCAGCCGGAAACCAGCCGGCAAAAGGCTGCCGCTGGGCAGCTGGGAGCCAAGCCTTAGGAAGCCTCCTTAGTTTGTTGAAGTTCCGCTGTTCCAATGTCTTCCCTCCACATACAGACATCCATTCAACACGTACTTCTACTAGATATGAGGAGATTTACCAAATTCGCGCTCCTTCAGCAAACATGAATCATGCTGGAGGCACATGCCACAAGCTAGAAAACATCGGTCTGTCGCACCCATACAGAGATATGACATATGGCTATGGGTCAAAAATAGGGTAACCCCAAAAAGGGTTGCCCTGGTAAACGGACACTCTGACAAAAATATGCGGTTCATATCCTTGTGCGAAACAAAATGCGAGCCATATCTTCCATTCCCTTCAGCCCCTGGAAAAAGAAAACTTTCTCCAGTAGTGATAGTTTCCCTTTAAAACCAACAATGAAAATTATAAAACGTATTTTAGCAAATGGACGTTTCATGGGTGAGGTCGTGAGGTTGTTGATTCGCATGACCTGCCTTGATCACAAGGGAGTTGCCTTAGTTGATAGCACAAATAAATGGAAAAATAAACATTTTTCCCGTAGTGATAAATTCCCTATAAAACCAACAAGGAAAAACAAACAAAACAACACTTCATTGCAGCTATTGGAAGAGATCCGTATACATTTGGCTGTGGCTCCAAAAACCGGTACCAAAACGGAACCCTGGTAAGTGGAAACATGGACCAAAACCTGCGGTTTGCCCCTCCGATCGTTTCATTTTGAGCCATACTCATATGTCACAAGTCCCTCTCATCCCAAAGTCGTTACGCCGAAACGTCCAATCTAAAAGTCTAAAAGCCTAGGTCCTCCAGCAGAGAGGTTAGAATAGGCCCACAGAAGTGAACCCTGCCTGCCGTTGCAGGTGCCGTTGCATGCCCAGGGCCACCTGGGCTCTAAGGCGTCGACGGTCTGGGCCGCTTGGACGGCACGGCGGGCTGCGTCGCAATTTTTGTTCGAGGAATCAGAGGAGCCCCCAACATGGCATCCTGTTTTGAAAAGAACGATGGCTGACAAGAATGGGGAATCAGCCCCTAGAAACATGGCACAAGTTGCTTTTCCTCTTGGGTTCAAAGCTTCTACTACGCCCCAGATGCCAACAAAAAGCCATTTCGCCCCGTAGGGATGAGTACATTTGCTTCTGCAAAACGCGCATCTGATGAGTACATTTGCTTCTGCAAAACGCCCATCTGACCTATTCATAAATATCGTTTGCCCTCCAGGGAATATTTATTCATAGGGGGTATTTATTAGGCGAAAAGGGGTTGTCTTGAGCGTGGAGAGAGAAGATTTCCCCGAAGGCTCTCTCCAATCCCTTCAGCGATTTTGCAGGGTTTCCCCTTTGGGATGTTGCAAGGTTTCCTAGTTCACAAGGAACAGGGCCTAAACCATTGCATTCTTGCAGGGCTATGGTTTTCAAGTACATCACACGCCTATTCAAGCTATTTGGGCGCTTACCTTCTGTCTGTTTTTGGGGTTGGTACTTTTTGGGTGGGTTTCAAAGTTCAAAGGGGACAACTCGTTGCTTTATTTGGCTCTGCAAAGATTCGCAATCGTTACTTCGTCCATTGGTTGTAGTACAAACTTTGACAGGGAAGGAAGGACCTTGGTCTTGACAGGGATCCTTACATTATACACCTGGACATTGCAACTTGTCAATGGTGGCGTCCCATTATTTTGGGGTTGAAAAAGCACCATGTTTCAACTGATTGCAAAATGTATCCTTACCCCTTAAAACTCCAAGCCCTGGGGAAGTTAATCTTTTACAGACATATAGCCCATGTCACCCAAAAAGTTGAAAAGTTGTGTTTTTAAGAGGCAAGTATCTTTTAAGGAGCCCTGGTCAATTCTGGTTTGGGGTTACAGGAAGCTTTGGTCCTGGAGTTTTCCCCAATAAGACTAGGGTCGGATTTGGCGAGTCAGCCAGTATTGCTTTAGAACTCGCCGGAGGGGGATCCGGGTGTCTGATACAAAACAATATGCATTGTCAACAGGCCGCATTTTTTTTTCAATGAGCACACTTTTCTTTTATCAATAAGCAAACACCTCTTAATAGGGCTTGTACCTCAGCTTCCTTTCAACATGGGTCAATCTGTGACACCGCTTGACCTTCAGCTTTTGCCCCAACCACTTGGCCAGATTGGCAGAGCTTTCGTGAAACTTTTTTCAGTGGCCATGGGTCATGGAACCTGGTTGCCGATGGCTGGCAAGGGACACTGAGACGTAAACGATATCTCCATCTGCTGGGGTTCTATCATCAAACACCCAAAATAACGGTGATGGCGTGTTGCTTTCAGCTGAAACACTCGTGCGGAAAAATATGCAATGCTTGGAAAGATGTCCTCTATATACATATATATATATATATGTATAACAAAATACTTGATTGTGGCACATATGGGTGCTGAATTTTCATGGGGCACCCTTTGGTGGACATGATTTAGCTGTGGAATCATGTCCACCAACCGCTTTGTGTGGTGGTTCCCATTCAAATTCATGGCCATATGTGGAACACCTTACAATGCAAGCTCCTTTCAAACGAGATCCTCGGCATAAACGAGATGCCCGGCATTTGGGGCCCGAAGATTTGACATCCAAGTGACAAAGCATGCCACTATATGCAACTTGCTGCACGCCCTTGGAACTACAAGTCCATTGCCATGTCAGCCACTGAAGAACCAACCAAATCTGGATGAAACAATCTCTGATAGGTGAGCCAGCACGAACAACCGAGCAAGCACAATCTGCAACATCCAAGCCTCTTCGTCTTCACTCAACTGGTTTTGCCTCGACATTGTCTTCGCCAAAAGAGACACTTCTTTATTTTTCTGATTGCAAGCAACGGGGGGCTCGTGTAGAAGCAGGACCCCATCAAATTGGCAAACCCCAACGATATAAAAAACAAGGCGGTCGACGGGGCAAAGCAACCAAGAATAATATGGCTCCTGTGTTGCTGCAGCGAATCCCCTATGACAGGAGGAACCACTGCAAGCCTCAAGTGAGCAAGCATAAGGTCGTCTACTTTAGACAGCTTCACCCACACAAAAAGGACACCACCATTCCGAACCTTGAAACAAAAAAAACGAGTTGCTTCTGCAAGCAAACCAGAAAGGCGGTTGGATTTCCGCCAAAGATGTGTGGAACAATCCGAAGCCCTAGGTGTCCTTTTGCTCAAAATGATGGTGCTAAATGAAGATCGAAGCAAGCTGCAACCATGGGCAAACGGCCATTCTGGGTGAATTATAATAATTCACCAGCCTAAAATAAGGTGGTTGGGGGGCCATTCCCCACATCCAGCAAAATTCGGGGTGAATTCGGTTGTGTGAGCTCGTTCCTCACTTGCCCAAAGGACCTGCAAATGAACGGTTCACCTTTTGGGACTACTAAAAATAGGCCAAAAAGGGACAACCAAAAAGGTCAGATCAGGTCGATTCGCTTTGAAGAACTGAGACAAGAACCAGAGTTTCACCTTTCCAAATGAACTTCCTCGGCTTTCGCGGCTCGCCGGAAAGAAGGACCCCTGAAACCTGGAGAAGGGATGCGCTTTGAAGAGCTGAGGTAATTCACGAGCTATGTCCGGGCGCCCGGACTCTCAGTGGCAGCTTCTCTGCATCCACGGCCGGAGGCCCGGCAGCGCCCTGGAGCGAAGCGCTGGTGGCCATGGGGAAAAAGACGGGGAGCATCCGAATTTGGTTGGCTAGGTCCTCCAGACTTGAGAGGTTAGAAGTTGGTACACGTTTTTCTTCTTCCTGTAGTCTAGTTTAGTAGGGGAACCCTCCCCCCAAAAAGGGGATAAAAGGGCACTACTGGACCTTGTTTGATTGAGTTGAATAAAACGGGCATCCTTGTTTGGGTGAGTTGAAAGGGGAACTCTTCCCAAGAAAAAAGTTGGAAACAACAAACATGGCGGAATTCACTGGGCAAGTTTGGGCGAGTTGAGTTGAAAAGGGGAACTCTTCCCAAGAAAAAAGTTGGAAACAAAAAATTGGCGGAATCCATCGGGCAACTGGGCCATCTGGTGGCTTCACGAAGTTCACTTCAACTGGTGGAGATTCTCCATCTACAGGACCCAAGTCAGATTCCATGTGGCCATGGGTCAAAAATTCAAATCGTACCCCCGGTGAACATCCCAATTCCCGCTAAAATAAAGCCTAAAATGGGTGTTGAATTCACCTACCCCAAAATGGGATCCATTGGTTTTGACCCAGATTCCATATTAAATTCTAGGACAACTCAGATGTTCCTGTCTTCATGACTGACAAAAGGAGCAACGCATCTAGACGTCTATGAACTGCAACAACTTGACCAGCCAAGAAAAGAGCTCTCGAATCCCTTCATTTGCTTCAGTCCCCTGGAAAAATATATGTCCAGTAGTGATAGATTCCCTTTAAAATTTAAAACCAACGGGGAAAACAAAAAAACTTAACCAAGTAAACAAATAACGGGTGAGGTCGTGAGGTTGTTGATTCGCATGACCTTCCTTTCTCACAAGGGGATTGCCTTAGTTGATACATGTTAAGAGTTCCTTTTGCACGTTGCGCCGGTATCTGGTCAAACGCTCACCAATCCATGGTGCATTGCACTGAAATGGCGAGGGGCTCCCTCTGGTGCTTTCCATCATTGGGGGTACACTTTCATGGTTTGAGAGAAACGGCGGAAAAAAGGAAGCTGACAAACCACGGCCTGCCTCCCTTCGATTGGATTTCCTGTTGCCTTCCTTGTCAAACGGAGCAAAGCGACCACCCAGGTTTGCACATCATCCCCTTTGATCGGCACTTGAGCTCAATTGAGAACCAAAGCCCCGATCCGCAACTGAAAACCCATAGGCTTCAAAGGGAAACCAGAAGGATTCCAACCGTCGAGCGTTGGTGCTACAGTCCTCGAGTGGTTGGAGTGACAGCAGAACCCAGGTGTTTCGCACAATCTTGGGTAACTCCTCGCCATGTTCCTCTAGTTTGAAGGGGGTCTCCTGGATGCATTTCCTCGGTTGCTTTGTTCTCTCCTGCTAAAAGTGAAAACCCATTATAGTTGGCAAAAAGTTCTCGAACAAAAACAACCCCGAACAGGGTACACTCAAGAAAGAGGGAACACAAAGTTTCTTTCCGGACAGTGGATCCACAGGCCCACAGAAAATTTGCCCACCGAGCCGTCCCTGAAGACCGTAAAAACACCAAAGCTTCGGGTGATCGCTGAGCCATGAGAGTCTCACGTCTCATCAGGGAAAAAAAAAAAACAAAGGGACCAATTCCCCCCCCAGTTTTTCTTTACACAGGGGGACCAATTTCCCACCCACCGGGGCCAGTTTCCCACCAACAACACGAGAAAAAACACGATTAAAGTTAGACCCATAGAATGTATAATTTAGTGTTTGCTTTACTTTGAGCCTCTGGTAACATGTAAAACGTATCCTAAGTCTACCCCAGAAAAAAAGAGGGACCAATTTCCCACCAACCACTGATCACCGGACTCTTGAAACAAATCAGAGCAAATCATGGGGATGGTTGAATCCACCGCTTGAAGCAAATCAGAGGCACCAATTTACCACCAAAAACTGGTCACCGGCGTCGGATGGCTGAGGAACTGCCAGGTTTTGCCCTTCTTGCTGGTTCGATAGGCATGAGTTGGAATGACTGAGCCCCATAAACACGAGTTTCGATGGTCCTTCGCTGTCGCATTTCTGACCGCTTCAACACATCTGGGTGCGGCAACCGAGGCACTCCCGGAACTTCACATTGAACTCCAAACAAAAAAAACAAGAGACATCCCCCTTTGCGGACTCCCTTTCTGGGGCCTCATCAGATAAGTACCGCAGTTGGCTCTGAATTTCAGTGAGCTTCCCAAGGTGGCCCGAACATGTCCCGCCGAAGAAGCCGCTGTGCACCCATCATGCCGCAAAAATTGGTCCTCTACTTGGTCCTTTGAGGGCAAGAAATTGCCCGATGTTTTTTGGGGGGGCACACCCATCTCTCGGCCTTCGGGTTATCAGTGAAGAGCAAGGCCTGGCGAAACTTTCGCGAAGCGGATCCAGGGCCATGAGTGGGCTGTGGCTTTCTTGGCATTTGATATTTTTGCGCTCGGGGGGTCGCCACCCTTTGGATGTTTGTTGTTTTGGGTTTTTGAAATCCTTAAGGGCAAAGGGAATCGTGGGTGTCGCCAAACACCCTCCAGTCACATGAATTCTTCCTTCTCGACACCGTCAAGGGCCAAACCAACATGAGCCACGGGTCAAAAGCCCGTACCCCCAATGAACGTCCCAATCCAACCACTAAAATAGGTTCTAAAATGGGTGGTGAATTCACCAATCCCCCAAAACGGGATCCCAAAACGGTTTTGACAACCACAGCCAAATGATTGGTCCACTTCCCCCCCACCTTGCGGCACTTTGCGACGGCCGCAAAGCCTCGAAAGCCAAAGCGAACGCCGGCCGTCAGATACTTTTCGTGTGGACAAAATGATTGGTACACTGCACCTAGGTCCTCCAGTGGAGAGGTTAGAACAAGTTGGTACCTGTTTTTTTCTTTTCCTGTAGTCTATTTTAGTAGGGGAACCCTCCCCCCAAAAAGGTTGGTGAAGGGGCACTACTGGGGGACCTAGGTACCTGTACCATGGGGCACCCACTAGCTCTGATAGTTGTTTGAATGCCACTGATGGACAAAACCCTGCATCAGTGGCTAGGATATGATTCCGCTCCCGGGTTTCATCCACCACCTCTGCTGCGGAATATTTGTCCATCCACGGCATGGCTGTTTCATACGATGTCCGCCCAAATGGGACTCAGCCTGGTAACCACTGAGCCACTCAGCCTGCAGTTGTCTGCCCAGCTCAGCCACTGGTGTGCAGTGGGGTGAACTGAGTGCCAGGCGTCAGTTTGCCTCATGCCCATAAAAAGCTGAAACCAATTCTCCCTTTTGGATTTCCGGCATGTACAAACTTTTCATATGGATCACGGGAGCTTTTTTGCGTGTCTCCCCACGGCAATGCTCAAGCATGTACCCAACGACGAAAAGCCAACGGCGGGGGAACCCAAAGTTCCAGGGCGTCTCAGGCAGCGGCAGGCGAAGAATGGATAGATCTGCTGATAGCCAGGGGGTCTTTCCTCAAGCCAAGGCCGGGTTTGCAGCCCAGGTGAACTCCGTTGGTTTCATCGGAAAAAAGCAAACCAAAAACACAGGCCTCATGATTTGGGTTAAATGGAAACCACCTGCAGGACCCATTGATACACAAATGTTTGCTTGAGCTTTCGTGGCAAATAAGTGCGCGAGTAATGGTAAATGCAAGCACGTGCAAACACACGGATTGCGGGGCAGCTTTGGCTTTGCACACTTTTTGGAATTGCGCTCGATTTGCGGAAAATTGCGCCCGAGTAGCGGGAAATTGCGCTCGAGTTGCAGGTTCGTTTTCTCTCGAGCACCTCACCAAAGCAGCTAGGCAACCTCAAAAAGTGCTCGAATTGGATTTGAGCAGAAAAAAACCGCTTGAATGCCAAAAACTGTCCGGAGCACTTCTTTGTGTATCAAAGGGTCCTCCAGGCAACCCGGTTTCTGACTTTGGTAACCCTTTGAAACGGTCAAAATCATGGCCCCGGAAAAACATCCCCCAAAACCACCCTGGAAACTCCGACGGGCAAGCCTCGGAGGAAAATCAGGGCGCCTCTCTCTCTCTCGCGCGCGCAGGTTTCGGAAACAAAACAAACAAAACAACACCGGGAGATCGCAAGACTCCCAGGCAAATGCCGGCGATTCTTGCGGATGTTTTTTTTATGGCTTCCCAACAGGCTGCAGATGTGGACAAATCAGAGTCGAAGTCCACTCAATTTCCAAGGTCTTTCTTGCTTGTCAGCTTCTTGAACTAATCCCAAAGGTCATTACCCTTTCTATCACCAACATGGCACCTGTAGGAGAGTATCTGGAAGATCAGTTTCCTGTGGAGACACCCCCTGTGGGGTGCCATGTTAGTGGGAGAGGGGGTAATATGTACGAATACATAATCGTTCAGAGTTGCTTGGTGCAATGCCTGGCGGGGTGGCAAGGAAACCATGTTAAAGCCTCAAGGGTATTCATGAAAATCTACACAGGGCCCCCTACTCAAAATACTCACCTTTTTCAGGGTATTCGGGAAAACCTGGTTTCCACGGAAAACACCACACTTTTTTCACCAGAGGGTCGACATGATACCCTGAAAAACGAGGGTATTTGGAGTAGGGGGGACTGGTCTGGAGTATTTCGTCAGGTCGGAACCGGTGTGGGAGCTTCGCAGGGGCCAATGTTTCTAGGCCAAAGGCTTCAGCCACATGGCACAAGAAACAGCTCCGCCAGTTTCCCATGTTTTTCAAGGCCTGGAACAGGTTCTTGACGCCTCTGCGTCCCATTTACCCTCGGCGATATTCACGGGTTCAACTACCCAAACCACGAATCCAAGCCATCCATTGGGGGGTAACCTGATTCAAGGGGAAGTTTCAGGTTCTCCCCTGTACTTCTACTTAGATACTCCAAATGCTCGACTCGTGCCCCTGGGGCAAGCACCGAAGCCAGCAAAACCTCGACGGGCAAGGCCGAAAATTTGGGGTGCCCTGCAAAAGGAGCAAGTTGCCGCTCAAGAGGCAAGCCACACATCCCAGGCACACGCTCGCAAATCCAAAAATCCAACATCCAAATGGGGGTCCACACAGTGTCAGGAACCGAGAATGCCGAGAAAACGCTCTTCTAGGGTTCAAGGAATCCGTCGCAAATGGGAGACTTCGGCCCCGAGAAATCGACTCACTGGGCATGGAAAAGGATGGGCCTGTTTGGATTCGGAGGCGATGGTTTCTGTGCCAGGCCTCGTACTGGAGATTTGCTCCGGCTGTGGATGAATGGTCGGAATTCCCCTCCCTTTTCCTGCGGAGTATTCCCTGAGTCTGGAGCAGAAGAAGACACCAGTTGGCCTTTTACAAAGTGGCTTCACGATGATTGGACAGCGAATCGCACCTGCTCTCGGGGTTGTTCCCCCGTCCTGACTTGGCCTGTGTGGCAACGACCAGAAAACAGGGGTGTCTTCCATTTGGTTAAGGCCCCAGGAGAAACTAAACATATGTCCAGTAGTGAAGAATTATTTTCATAATTAATAAGGGAATACCAAGCCGGTAGCTGGCATCTGAAAGTGGAAAGCAACTCCACTGATCGCAGTGCGGATCCGTTGGGACCTCATCAGCATCGAGAAGAAACAAAACAAGCGGCACCACATGCAAACGTAGCAGACCTGAAAAATATGAAATATTGCTTGAGCAAAAGATAATTTATTTTGCACCCCCTCTCCCCTTCACCCCACCCAGCTACACAATTTGACACCCTCAAACAACTGCACTTAGGACTGTCCCACAGTTGAGACTCGCTTCAAAGGAGTACCAACAGAAGAAATCAAGCACAGGGATACCTAATCTTTGAAAATACACCCCACACTTGGACTCTCCAAATCCATGAGAGTGAGACACCTCCATTTTTTGGGCGGAAACTCGTTCTTTTTTTTTGGGGGGGGGTTTGACAAAACCGGGGGGACCCGAAAAACAACACCCACCGGGGACCCCCCACGCGCTGCTCCCCTCTGCCCGGTGCTCCGCGCGCCTCGGTGCGCAACACCTCCTCCAAGCCCTCGTCCAAGAGCTCCAACAGCTGAGGCAGGTCGTTCCCGCCTCAGTCGCATCGACGCCGCTCTGCGCGACCCAGTCGCGCGGCGCCACGGATTTTCGGTTGGGGGGGTGGTGCCTAGGTCCAGTGGAGAGGATGGAATAAGGGTACCAACTTCTTTCTGTAGTCTATTTTAGTAGGGGAGCCCTCCCAACCAAACAAGGGAAAAAGGGTACTACTGGGGGACCTAGGTACCCCATTTTGTACTGTGTTTGTTGAAACTGGAGCTAAGAGGAAGCCGGAAAGACATTGTTGTTTTTTGGGGGGTCCCCGAAACAAAATGTGTTTTTCATATTTTTGGAGTTGGTGGCCCTGTTTGTTGGGGTGCTCAACAATGTTCCTCCAACACATACATTGGTGTTGGCAGCCCTCCATGGATGTGTGTTTTCGGAGTCGGTACCCCTTTGAGGTTCTGTGGGTTTAAAGGGAAAAGAGGCAAACCCAAATCCATTTTGGGGGATCCAACCTTTAAAAAAGGCACACCCAAATCAGCTTACAAAACGCACCTGACAGTTGGTCCCTCCAAGAGGAAATTGATCTTCCAGGTACCCCTCCCCCAGTTGCTATGGGAGGCTAACTCCCTGTTCGCCTTGCGAAGAAAATCGGAGCTCACGTTGATAGCGTCATGAAGCTTCGCGCCCAAGGGTTTGGATTTTGGACGTGCAAGAGCGCTCCAGTTGACTGGCGGTTCAGATCAAGCAACGAGAATTCTAGTTCATTCCTTCTCCATTCTTTTCAACCATCCTTCTTTCTTCAACAAGCCGGACTTTTTCCCCCTTTTTTTCTGGGTTTTCGGAGGTTTTCGAGAAACAAAGGATCCCTGGAAAGAATGGAAAGAATGGCTTGGGATCCCGAGACCAACTTTGGATCTAAGAAAAATGGCTGGAGACCTATATAGAAAAGAAAGCATGGCTTGTCCCAAGCGACTTGGGAATAACACTACGCCACGAAAACGTGTCTAGGTCCTCCAGTGGAGAGGTTAGAACAAGGGTACCCTATTTTGCTGTAGTCTATGTTAGTAGGGGAACCCTCCCCCCAAAAAAATAACGCTAAAAAGGGCACTAAGATGGGGGACCTAGGTGTGGACGAGACGAAACGCCCCGCGGCGACCTCCTGCCCAACCCCCGCGAGCGGAAGTTCTTTCGGCGCCCGGCCCTCTTTCAGCGCCAGCCGCAAGAGCGCCACGAACTCCTCCGAAGGCCGCGGGGCCCCAGGGGACCGACGGATTTTGGGGGGAGATTGTCTGGGGACCAAAACTCGAAGTGGATCCAGCCAGAATAACACGGGGCGGGTTTCGCAGCTGGCAGCCCAGGCTGGTAGGCCTCATTCCTCTAGGGCTAGCTTCCAATTGTTCTAGAAAACCATGAAGAACCCTGGGAAGACAGCGATCGGGTCTTGAAAAGAACGTTGTTTGAAAAGAATGCAATGGGGAATCAATCCCTAGAAAAACGTCTGAAAAACAGGGAAGGCTTTATGTTTGGAGGAATCCCTTTTGGCAGACCCACGATTTTTGAAGAAGCTTGGCTTATGCAAACCCTCTTTTGGGCACCAGGTTGATTTGCTAGAGGATACATTCCACCCAACAGACAACTCAAAGGGACCCCGATTTTGGGGGGAGATCCATCTTTAGAGGGGACCAACCAAAGAAAAACAGGGGAAGAAGGGTGCCCGTGACTGAACAGCTGGGAAGGTGATGTGAAAAACTGAGTTGAGCGCATGGCTGGCAGTCTTTGAGGGGAATTCAGTCTCATGCCTCTGATTGCGAACCAAAAGTTTCAGTATGCGCAGGTCACGGCTCTGGCCCCCAAACATGAGGGACTTATCAAACTGGGCTGTCCTCAGATCCCCCGCTAAAAGCTTAACTTTTAGTGGGTTAAATGGAAACCCCCTACTAAACACTAAAACCTAAAAGCCTAAGGGGATGGCTGGGAACCGTCAAGCAAAAAGGCCAACGGTCGGCAGCAAATCCTGTCCTGCATGTACAACTGCAAGGCCTCCTGAGGCTTTCGCTCATAAGGCGGCACCTCAGCGCGGAACAGGTGCTGCTTGAATGCCAGGCAGCGGCGCTTTTTGAGTTTTTTGTTGTAGCGATAGCCAGGCCATCTATATTGCCGCTTGGACGCGGGCAAAACCTTCCTTGCCCACAAAACGATGTATTGGCGTGGTCGCGGTCCACGCACTATTGACATGTCCAACCCTATTGCCATGGAAGACAACCACGCCCTGCTTGTTTCAGTCCTTGCACAGCCACGAGAAAAAAGTAAGCAAGGGCCTGAGTTGTTTGTTGGGTGGAATGTATCCTCTGCAAATCAACATGATGCCCAAAAGAGGGTTTGCATAGGCCTCCAAGCTTCTTCTAAACGGGGTTCTGCCAAAAGGGATTCCTCCAAATAGTGTGTTTTCCTTGCACTTCATGATCTGGAGTTATAATGAAGGAACCGGGCTCCTCTTGCCACTTTCTTGGCAAGACTGGCGTGGCTCCGCAAGAAAAGAAGGAACACGCAACTCACATCACTAATTGTTAGGGGGCCAGATATGTTGTCCAAGCACAACGTGTTCACATTATCTTAAAGGGATGGTTTGTGTGGGAGCTCCATAGCTTTCCAGCCCAAACCCCAAGCCAAAAAAGCACCAAGCCTCAACCAAAGTCTCGAGTAATGAACATCATATCTTCCAACCCTGTACCAAAGTTGGAGTCTCAACCTCTGGACCACAGCACCAAAATCCTTTCTGGGAGACCGCACCCACTCGGAGACCTGGGCGATCTGCGGAGGCTTGGCGCGCTCCAAGAACCTGAAAACGCCGCGCCGCAAAACGCGCGAGCGCGTGCGCTTGCGAGCTGTGGACCCGAAAACCAGGACAGACGTAGTGGCAAGCAGATTGTGGCAACCGGATTTAGTAAAGGATGAAACTCAAGATGATGTAACCCGAAAAAGATCAGCTTGATCTAAGCAGATTTGGAAGCTTGAAACCCAAAATGAGGTCCTAGCCGGTCCTAGCCACCGCTCAGTTGCCAAGTGACTCTGGTAAAAAAAAGTCACCCCTTTGGTTGGTTGACCTTTACTAGACAAGCAACCCCCTTACAAAAAGAGAACAAGGGTGCCAGTGAACAATTGGGCGTTGGTTAACCTCAAAAGGGTACGCTAAAAAAACACTTATATTACCCACATCCTCAGCTATCCCGCATCCCCAGCATGTCCTGCATCACCAAAGGAAAGCTTTCTCCGAAGAGGGTTCAACGGCGTTTTGAGAAGCCTAGGTTCCTTCAAAGGAAAATCCACCAGCTTATGTATTCAGAGACTCGGCTCGGGCTTGATTACTTTTGCAAGATTGAGGAACCAAAAGACAGAAGACAAGGCCGATTGTTCCCACTTCTTTGATAACTCCTCCTTAAAGCGAAGAAGTCAAGTTGGCAAGGCCCTCCAGTGGTATCACGACCGTCCCCTTAACCAACAAAAGGAATGACCTTCCAGCGCAATTCCCCGCAAACCCTGACCCCAAAATCTGCTTTGAGTAAGAATAGGTTTTGCTCCATCCTTGTGAAAGCCAAAGGCTGGGACCAAAAGTCATTTTGGGGGACAAAATGCGCGGCTCGCAAAAACCTTGGTCGCTGAAAAGCACCCGCAGTGATCGGGCTGTGTGATGCTGTTTCTCCAACTTGCCTGCAAACTCATGAGTTGTTTGTGTGCTTTTGAAAAGTGCAAAGGGCAAGTGCATTCTAACGTGGTCTTCTGCATCCCTGCATCGAAAATTCCCACCAAAGAAAGAGAGGGTGCCACTAAGCTGGGCCACTGGATCCTAAGAGGCGCAGGCTTCTTTTCGGCCCATGGGCTTTGGCTCATGGCGACGCAGGAGGCTGGTGATAGGTTCAGCCTCCCCAAAGGCGGCCTGAGTCTCAGGGGCGGCGGGAACTGCGCAAGGAACTGAAGGGTTCTGGCAAGGCAAATGAAGGTTCCCGTCCGGGAAACTGGGGCCAAGGAACCCGCAACCGGTTTCTTCGGCCATGTTTCTGACATGCTGAGTCAATTTAGAGTCACGTAGACTATTGTAATGTACAAGGAAGCACTGCTGTTTGGCAAATCCGGAATTGGAATCGCTTCAGGAAAGCTCAACCCAGGTTCTGCCAAGATGCTCGCTTCCGCCACTCCACGAACTCGTGCTCCCAAATGTAAAAGACGCGGAGCCCCTCCCCAGTGAACAGATCGAGGCGTTCCATGGTGTCACGATAAACGTCCGGCGCCGGCTTGCCGCCCACGCAAATGAAGCTGCTATGCCTTGAAACAGAACGAGTTGCGAGCTGATGACAGAAACTCGTACTTGTACTTTGGTGGCAAAACGATATGTGCTACCAAGTAGCCTTGGATGCTCCAAAGGAAAGCCATGATAGTAGTTCCCCAGAAATTCAACCACCTCGCGCCTCTCCGGGTGGTATGCATCGGGCAGCACCGCACGCTTTGGAATCAAACCTGCGAACTCCTTGCCGGACCAAGTGCCGGTAGCTGCATCAAATCTGTGCCGAAAAGTGAACCTGTAGCCTACCTCCTCCTCCAACATGTCAAAACAATCGCTTGCTGCGCGCGATAAATTCGATGAGGACAAAACATGTGCGCCAACCTCTGCCGCATGCACTGCACAGAATTGCCGAGGTTTGCCAGTAGCATCTGGATAACTTGCGTGCTTTCCGCACACAAGGCACCTCAAACTTACAATGTCTTCCATTCCATCCTCTCTGCAGTTGGCACAGCAAGTTGCCCGAGCATCACCTGGCATCCCGAAAGATGGTCTGGCCCTACCGCACCTGCACTTGGCGTTCTTGATGTCCATCATCCCATCCTCTTGGCAGTTGGCACAGCAAGTTGCCCGAGCATCACCTGGCATCCCGAAAGATGGTCTGGCCCTACCGCACCTGCACTTGGCGTTCTTGATGTCCATCATCCCATCCTCTTGGCAGTTGGCACAGCAAGTTGCCCGAGCATCACCTGGCATCCCGAAAACTGGTTGGGCTCTGCCACACCTGCATTTGGGGCTCTTTATGTCTAACATTCCATCCTCCTTGCAGCGGGCACAGCAAGTTGCCCGAACATCACCTGGCATCCCGAAAACTGGTTGGGCTCTGCCACACCTGCATTTGGGTTTCTTTCTGTCTAACATTCCATCCTCCTTGCAGCGGGCACAGCAAGTTGCCCGAACATCACCTGGCATCCCGAAAAAAGGTTTGGCTCTGCCACACCTGCATTTGGGGCTCCTGATGTTCACCATCCCATCCTCTTTGCAGTTGGCACAGCAAGTTGCCCGAGCGTCGCCTGGCATCCCGAAATAAGGTTGGGCTCTGCCACACATGCATTTGGGGCTCTTGATGTCCACCATCCCATCCGCTTTGCAGTTCGCACAGCAAGTCGCCCGAGCGTCGCCTGGCATCCCGAAAGCTGGGTGGGCTCTGCCACACCTACATTTGGGGCTCTTGATGTCCACCATCCCATCCTCTTTGCAGTTGGCACAGCAAGTTGCCCGAGCAGCCCCTGTCATCCCGAAAAAAGGTATGGATCTGCCACACCTGCATTTGGGGCTCCTGATGTTCACCATCCCATCCGCTTTGCAGTTGGCACAGCAAGTTGCCCGAGCATCACCTGGCATCCCGAAAAAAGGTTGGGTCCTACCACACCTGCATCTGCGGCGCTTGATGTTCACCATCCCATCCTCTTTGCAGTTGGCACAGCAAGATGGTCGAGCGTCATGCGGAAATCCAAAGGAGGGGTGGAGCACGCGTCCGCACACACAGGAGCCAGACTGCCCTGCCAGTGTGCCGCCAATGTTCGGCTTTCTATACGCCAGGCTAGTATTGGCAAAGAAGCCGGTGGGCGTGCTGCTCTTGCCGTGGTCGCTCTCTCCTCCCAAAACTCGACGCGTCAGGAACAGCCAGCATGCAGCTCAGGCTGCAACCAGCGCCAACGTTAATTTGTTGAGAGGCTGGAAGAATGAAACAACCATTTTTCTTGTGGCTTCCTTTCGGGAAACAAGCATTTCTGGGTCATCTCACACTCAGCCGTCCGTAATCCACGCCGTCCTCCACGCTGCCCCCGGACACCGCCCAGCGACTCCCCTGCGAAAGGGCGCCAACACTGCGCTGGACACGGCAGCGGCGCCTGGCAGAGACTGCGCATACCAGGCTTGCGAACGACTTGTCACAATTGCCCCGAGTCTTGAACAACCATACTTGAAGAGATCTCGGCACGCATGATTCTTGAAGCCCAACATCGGAACTAAACATGAGGTGGAACGCATGCTGGCACGCAACCTCCACGGCGACAAACATCGGATGCGAATCGTTCAAAGGATGGGCCTTGGGTTCGAAGGATGGACCTTGCAGCTGCTGCCTTCTCGGAATAAACCTCATCGGTAAAAAAGGGGGAACAAAAACACGGGGGAAAAAAAGGTTCCAACATATCGGATTCCGCTAGTGCAAAGGATTCACCCTGCAGTTCTCCAAAACAACCTGGAGGCCCAATTGATACAGAAATTAGTGCTCGAATGTTTTTGGCGCAAAAAGTGCCCGAAACGTTTCTGGGAGACAGCGACTTGGCGCTAGTGTAGTGACCAGAATTTGGGCAGTTGTTAAAATTGCGCTCGGTTGCGCGGATTTGCGCCCGAGTTGCGCGAAGTTGCGCCCGAAGTTGCGCCGAATTGCGCTCGAAACGCGGTGCGCATTTCGGGCCAAGCCGTCTTCAAAACTGTTCGTTTCCAATCGGGCAGAAAAAAACGTTCGAACTCCGAAAATGCAATCGAGCACTTTTTTCTGTATCAATTGGGCCTCCAGGAAGGACCCTTCGTCTTGAATCTTCTCAGATAGTCCCAAGACGGACAACCCCCAGACCTCGTCGGAAAAACCGCGGGCGGCGCGCCGGATGGAAAGACGCCCCTCCGCTCCCGCGCCTGGGCCAAGCGGCGCAGAAACCGCAGAGCCATGGCACGCGGCCGTGCCGTGCTCCACGCTCAGAAGTAGCGGGTAGACACGCAATGAGAAGGCAGACTTCCTTCCAGTGCCAAGTGATTTCAAGGGGAAAGGGGGTTCTGTGAAAGCCCGGCACCTGGAGAAGATGTGTTTTTGGAGAAATGCGATGCTGAAGATCAAAAAGAGGTTCAGAAGCCCTCCTACGCACGAAAAAGGAACCCGAGGAAAGAGTATCTGAAGGAACCAGTGAGCTTCCGTCACAGTAGGTGAATAGCCATCCCCTTGCGGCTTCCTGTACAAATGAGAAACTTGCGGAGTTTCTAGGGTTGTTTAGCACCAATCCTACTGTCACTAGCAATGAACCAATATCAACGGCCTTGTCGGTACTCTCGATGGCCTATTGTCGAAACCAGCGAACCAAGGGTGCCATCGGGAAATGTAGCAGGGTGAATTGTACATGGCGGATTTCACCATGTTCGGCAATTAAGTGACCCAGCATAGCCATGGGTTTATTGTAACATACAATTGTCAACAGAATAATCATGGCTGTAATTACAACTATACCAACTATACATGTAAACAAGCATGTACGTTAAAACAAAAATGTACATGTGTATGTATATATGTATATACAGTTTTATATATATATATATATATATATGGCTTTACCAAACACCCAGCTTCCTCTGTTCAAAGGATGCAAGGGAGTCTTTGAAGCAATTTGCCACCAATAAACAAACAACGAAAGAGGTTTCACTGCAAGCGCCTTTAGAAGCCCAGGCTCGTTTCCACCAGGTCTAAGGCCAATCTTTTCAGCTTTCTTTCAGATTCGGGTGCCTTGCTCGCCAAGGTTTAATTACGGTTTCCAGATTTGACGCTTGAGGTTGGATTTCTTCAGTTCCCAAGGCAAGTTGGTTGTAGGGACCTGAAATTGCCAAGGCCTGTGGTATCAGGGAACGACCTTCCAGCGCAATTCCCACAACCAACGAAAAAAAAACTTCCCTTTGAGTTTGAATTGGGCAATTACCATCATCAAAGGAAACAGCGGGTGTCACTGGACCAGCTTTTTTGAGAGGCGCAGTCTTCTTTTCGGCCCATGTGCTTTGGCTCATGGTGGCGCAGGAGGCTGGTGATAGGCAAAGCCTCCCCAGCGGCAGCCTGGGCTTGGGTAGGCGGACAAACTGGCAACAAATGCGACGAGTTCCCGTAAGGGAACCGGCTTCTTCGGCCAACGAACTGGCCACCGAAACCGGCTTGTTACCACCGTGCTGCGGCGTTATGGCAGGAGTTTGGACGTTTCTGACATGCTAAGTCATGGAAACTAGTGTTATCTACAAGGAAGCACTGCCGATCAGCAGATTCGCAATGGGAATTGCTTCAAGAAAACCCAGCCCCGCTTCTGCCAAGATGCTCGCTTCCGCCACTCCACGAATTCGTGCTCCCAAATGTAAAAGACGCTGAGCCCCTCCGCAGTGAACAAATCGAGGCGTTCCATGGTGTCACGATAGACGTCCGGTGCCGGCTTGCCGCCCACGCAAATGAAGCTGCTATGCCTTCAAACAGAACGAGTTGCGAGCTGACGAACAGGGGTGGCAAAACGAAACACAATGAAGCGAAATGTGTGCTACCAAGCAGCCGTGGATTTTCCACAGGAAAGCCATGATAGTAGTTCCCCAGAAATTCAACCACCTCACGCCTCTCCGGGTGGTATGCATCCGGCAGAAAAGCACGCTTTGGAATTAGACCCGCGAACTCCTTGCCAGACCAAGTGCCGGTAGCTGCATCGAATCTGTGCCGAAAAGTGAACCTGTAGCCTACCTCCTCCTCCAACATGTCAAAACAGTCGCTTGCTGCGCGTGAAAAATTTGAGGAGGACAATACGTGTGCACCAACCTGTGCAGCATGCAATGCACAGAATTGCCGAGGTTTGCCAGTAGCATCTGGATAACTTGCGCACTTTCCGCACACAAGGCACCTCAAACTTACGATGTTTTCCATCCCATCCTCTCTGCAGTTGGCACAGCAAGTTGCCCGAGCATCGCCTGGCATCCCGAAATGCGGTATGGCCCTGCCACACCTGCATTTGCGGCTCCTGATGTTCACCATCCCATCCTCTTTACAGCTACCACAGCGAGTTGCCCGAGCATCACCTGGCATCCCGAAATGCGGTATGGCCCTGCCACACCTGCATTTGGGGCTCCTGATGTTCACCATCCCATCCTCTTTGCAGTTGGCACAGCAAGTTGCCCGAGCATCACCTGGCATCCCGAAAACTGGTTCAACTCTGCCACACCTGCATTTGGGGCTCCTGATGTTCACCATCCCATCCTCTTTACACTTGGCACAGCAAGTCGCCCGAGCGTCGCCTGGCATCCCGAAAACTGGTTCAACTCTGCCACATCTGCATTTGGGGCTCTTGATGTCCACCATCCCATCCTCTTTGCAGTTGGCACAGCAAGTTGCCCGAGCGTCACCTGGCATCCCGAAAACAGGTTGGGTTCTGCCACACCTGCATTTGGGGCTCCTGATGTTCACCATCCCATCCTCTTTGCAGTTGGCACAGCAAGTTGCCCGAGCATCACCTGGCATCCCGAAAACTGGTTCAACTCTGCCACACCTGCATTTGGGGCTCCTGATGTTCACCATCCCATCCTCTTTGCAGTTGGCACAGCAAGTTGCCCGAGCATCACCTGGCATCCCGAAAAGGCTCTGCCACACCTGCATTTGGGGCTCCTGATGTTCACCATCCCATCCTCTTTGCAGTTGGCACAGCAAGTTGCCCGAGCATCACCTGGCATCCCGAAAACTGGTTCAACTCTGCCACACCTGCATTTGGGGCTCCTCATGTTCACCATCCCATCCTCTTTGCAGTTGGCACAGCAAGTTGCCCGAGCATCATCTGGCATCCCGAAATACGGTATGGCCCTGCCACACCTGCATTTGGGGCTCTTGATGTTCACCATCCCATCCTCTTTGCAGTTGGCACAGCAAGTTGCCCGAGCATCGCCTGGCATCCTGAAAAAAGGTTGGGCTCTGCCACACCTGCATTTGGGGCTCCTGATGTTCACCATCCCATCCCCTTTGCAGTTGGCACAGCAAGTTGCCCGAGCATCACCTGGCATCCCGAAATACGGTACGGTCCTGCCACACCTGCATTTGGGGCTCTTGATGTTCACCATCCCATCCTCTTTGCAGGTGGCACAGCAAGATGGTCGTGCATCGTGCTGAAATCCAAACGACGGGTGGATCGCGCGTCCGCACACACAGGAGCCAGACTGCCCTGCCGGTGTGCCAATGTTCGGCTTGCGAAACGCCAGGCGAGTCTTGGCAAAGAAGCTGTCGGGCGTGCTGCGCGTGCCGTGGTCGCACTCTCCTCACAAAACACGACGCGGTAGGGAACAGAACCAGCATGCAGGCCAGCCAGCTGCAAGCAGAACTAGCAACAGCAACCTGTTAATCTATCAGAAGGGGACGCCCTGGGAACTGCGTTTTTCAGATTCCTGGGGGCTGCGCTTTTCATCAAAAAGCAGCTAAAAAAACAACAAAAACACGACAATGAGGGAACAGCAGCGTGCAGTCAAGGCAGCTGCAAACAGCACGAGAAACAGCAACCTATCAACCTAGTGGGAGGCGGGAAGAATGAAACATCCATTCTCTTGTGGCTTCCCTTTGGGGAAACAAGCATTTCCGGGTCATCTCGCACTCAGCAATCCGCATTCCACGCCACGGCGTCCTCCACGCTGGTCCCGGACTCCTCCCAGCACCAGCCCTGCAAAAGTGCGCCGGCCCTGCACTGGACATGGCAGCAGTGGCGCCTGCCAGAGACTGCGATGGCGTGCGAATGGGTTGCGGCAGGGCATCGATTCTTTGAAGAACAGAGATCTCGGTGCTCATTGATTGTTGAAGCCCGGCATTAGAACCAAACAATGATGTTCCACTGTTTGTCTGAGTCAAGCCACCCTCGCGGAAAACAGCACACAAGGGCGACAAACATCGCATTGCAATAGTGCAAAGGATTTGACTTGCAATTGTCCAAAACAAGGACCCTTCGTCTTGAATCTTCTCAGACAGTCCCAAGAAGGACAACCCCCAGACCTCATCGAAAAACCGCGGCGCGCCGGATGGAAGGAGACCCACTCTGCCCAGGAGAGAGAAAATGGGGTCTGGAAGGACATACTCTGCCCCCTCCAGCGCGCCTGGGCCAGGGTCACGCGGCGCAGGCTCCGCAAAGCCATGGCACCCGCACCCGCCATTCGCACACTGGGCAGAACCGGGTGACACGCAGTGAGAAGGGAGACTTTGTGCCAGTGCCAAGTGAACCGGAGGGAAAGGGGTGTCTTGGTGAAGCTCTGGAGAGTCCTTTTGGAGAAACTGAATGCTGAAGATGCCAAAAAGCTTGCAGATCCAGCAAGGGATGTGGCCAATTGATTCCTCCTCCAGATTCTGAGGGACATTTCGGAAAATGCGTGTCCTCCTTATGCCCCTCCCAAAGCGCTGAACCGCAAACTTGGATTCATCCTTTTCTCGGCCCTTTAGGCCGTCCCTTCCAGCCAAACACCCGCCAAACACCCGCACGACCTGGGCTAAAGCTCCAACTTTGAGACAGATGCTAACTTGATTGACGTTGGGTTTGGGGAGAAAAAAACATCAAACTTTAGCAGTTAAGTGGATTTGGATTTCAACCACTAAATCACAATAAGATCAAACATGGGAAACATGTTTCAACCAACAACCATCAAGCTAAACACATCATCTTTTAAACATCTTCCTTTGGGTGCCCTGTCTCAAAGGTGCCAGGGGTCTAGAAATCAATCGAGACATCTCATCTGGGAGCATCTTTTTCGAGACCCCCCAAAATAGGCTTCGGCTTTCCTTTTGGTTTCCCTTCAAATCCCTGAACAAGGGACACCCCCCCCCAAAGAAAAAGGACGAGCCGGCCAGTTCCCTCTGGCATTCTCCCCAACCTCCCCGCACTCGCTAGGGCCCCGCGCGTGCGGTAGAGGGGGGAGTCCGTGGCTGGGCAGATGCAGCTGCCGAAGGTCTTGGGGTCACGATACCTCGGCAGGCTTCGCAGTGAGGCGACCTACGCGGTGATACCAGTTCTCCCTTGTCAGAACCCGAAGAAGTGAGGAAAAATGTCTCTTTACTAAACCAGTCAGAACCCGAAGAAGTGAGAAAAAAAGTCTCTTTACTAAACCGATTCGTGTGGTCCTTCGGACATGTTCACATTGTGGATGGACAAATTCCAAGCCCGGCACCAGTTGGAACGGATGAAACCCCCAGGACTGGGGGGTAAACCCCAACTGCGCAGTGGAAAATGGTCCCCATCCACATAAGAGCAACATGGAACAGCGGTAACCATGGAGCTACCCTTCAAAAAGCTGCGAGGAAATGGATCGAAGGGCTGGGCTGGGATCCACTGGGCGAAAGAGCACTGCCCATTATTGCTAGGAGCATTGTAGGAAGTGTCCAGGGCAAACCATGTAAAACCTATATATATATATGTCATCTCTACTCTTGGTATGGTGGCTAAAAACTTTGTTTTTTGCAGACCCCCCAAAAAAATGAACAGAACCAACAAACTAAAAGACCAAAAAACATGCCAAGAACAGTGAAGATGTAGAGGTAAGACACCTGGGTGGCCCACTATAGTGGTAGCTGGCAGTACAGGGATTGGTTAAGCTAGACTGGGCTGGCCTCAGATCCTCTGCTAAAAGTTTAACTTTTGGTGGGTTAAATGGAAACTGCCACCAAACACTAAAAGGCTAAAAGGCAAAGGGGATGGCTGGGAGCCACCAAGTAAAGATTGAGTGCTTTGCTTCAGGTTTGCAACGGGATTCAAAGGGGAAGCAAATAGGCCATGCACTATTGTATGTTTGACCAAACCTCACTATGCGGCGCATCTCAACCCGAAAGACAAGACTGTACAAAAGCGCAAGGTACTGCAAGCGCACAAATCCTTTGCCAACCGTTCTGATCGGTCTAGTCCTTGTTTGATTTTGCGAAGAAGCAACCATCTAGTGAAAGCAGCTGGTTCGCACGTAACAACTTCAACCATCCTGCCAACGATGCACTGTATGAGCAGGCGAAGCCCAGCAAAGAACAAAAGGCCACCAACCCCCAACCAACCCGCCAGCCAGCCAGCCAAGCAGGCAGCCAGCTGAACTGTTTCCAACCTGCACCCAAAATACCCAAAGTGACAACCAACCGCAGCCACTACAAACGCAGCTAGGCTGTCAAGATCCAGCCAGGCAAAAACGAGCATAGGTGCGTGTTTGGAAACAAATTGCAATCGCCAATGAGCACCAAGCCACCAGTGAAGTCATCAGGGTTCGACCAAGCCGACTACAAAGGACAGCGATGCCAATAAGCCCAAGTAGTCGTGCTTCCCCATTTGGCAATAAATCTTGATGTAGAGTAAAAGATGGACATCAACCTCCAGACAAATGATGTCCACCAAGGGCCTGTTCGAAAAGTCATACCCGTTTTGGGTTGGTTTGAAAGGAGAACCAAAAGGAAATCTGCGTTTTCCCCTGTCCAAAATTCCCAAGTGTCCAAAAAACGATGGTTGGGACCCGTGGAAAAGAATGCGATGGTTGCCCCATGGTTTTCCAATTTGTGGCCGTCCTCTTCCTTTGGTGTTTTCCTGATGCCGTTCCATGTTTTCCCCTAGGAATTGCTTGAAGGCACCATTCGTCAGGACAACATAAGAACCACTGGAGGAGTCATTTGCTTGTGGCTCAAAAAAAATGGTGCCAAAATGGCTTGCCCTAGTAAGTGGAAGCATGGACCAAACCCTGCGGCTTGCCCCTGATTAATTTTGAGCCACACCCATTTCGCCCGATTCCGGCGCGGTTCGCGGGTCGATTCGTCGGCGAGCGTCAGAACTGCGTTGGGCGCATCCAGCGGCGCACTGGTGGCCAGGCCCAGGCCGTGCTTCAGCCGCCGCCACCTGAAAACCCACTAGGTCCTCCAGTAGAGAGGTTAGAATAAGTTGGTACCTGTTTTTTTCAATCTATGTTTTGTTTCTTGTAGTCTATTTTAGTTGGGGGACCCTCGGCCAAAAAGGGGTAAAAAGGGCACCCAGCTGGACCTCCCTTTTGCGCTTGCGGTTGGAGCGCGGCGAAAGCCTCGGGTTGGGTACTTGGTGAGGCTTCTTTGCCATGGCCCGAAAGAAAGTCCCAAGGAGGATTCACGAGGTGAAAAAAGTGATGGCTTCGGATCTGTCTCAATTTGGAGGCTGGGTCCTTTGGGGTTGATTGAAAGGGGGGAAACCAAGTTTTCCACTTGGGGCCCTCTGAGAGGATCTGTACCAAGCGAGCATTCGAACTTGGACGGGTTAGTTGCTTCAACACCTTTCATCCAACAAAGAGATCTCCGCTAAAAGTTGAGGGAATACGGAGCTCTCTCTCTCTCTCTCCTTCAAGGGAAGAACCATTTCCGGGAAGCAGGGACAGCAACATTTGTAGGGGGGCATCTGTTTCGAAACTAATGCACGTGAATCGGGTCGCGCATCGGGTGGGGTCCCAGATGTTGATGCTTAAAACACGTTATGGCGATATTTGTGCACGCTGGCTGACTGGATTGAGGAGCAACACAAACATTGGCTAAATCACCTGTGACACGTGTTGCTCAACAAATCCATAAAGCCGAATGAGCAAAACCAACTGCGGCCTGTTCAAGACATTCTTCCAAGCCAAAGCCCACAAATCTTCTAGAGACAGGCTCCCAGTTGTGTCTTGTCATCCTCACTTGCGGACATCAAGTTGGAATAGTGGCTTCTGGTTTCACTAAGGTGTAGTTTGCTATGTTTCCTGCCAGGCATAAACCATACAAATCCAGATGCTGGTCCTTCTCACCTACTGTCCATGCTGAGACTTCAACCGTTGTCAAGTCGCAAATCGCGTCAGTACGATCGATGCATGTAATGGCCACCGCTTCAAGGATGTGTTGCTTCGGTCCGACGTGTTCAAGCGACAGGGACCTGGGACCAAACAAAACAGAGAACAGAAACAAAGCCCTCACCAAAGCCCCCTGGATATGGCTTTCCAAATTGGCAATCGGCCAAACGCCTTGGGGTAGAACCAGCAACCTCTGAACATATGTGGCGTGTAGCCGTGGAGCGCATTGGGCCAAAGGGCCGTGAAGAGCCAAGGACAGAGAAAGAGTAATGGCTGGGTCCTCCAGTAGAGAGGCTAGAATAAGGGTACCAACTTTTTTTCTGTAGTCTATTTTAGTAGGGGAACCCTCCCCAAAAAAAGGGGAGTCAAGAGCACCTAGCTGGGGGACCTAGATGGTGACGACGTTGGAACACTAAGCCCTCCCCCCTTTTTCCCCAGGTCCAACTTCAGAGCAAACGGGTTCTGGGAGATAAGGCGGTCTGCGGGAGAGAGTAGTTGCAGGCCGCTGTGCGGGACTGATGCAAACATTGATGGCATCTGCGAGCGTTGCATTGTTTAGGAGAGAGTAGTTGCAGGCCGCTGTGCGGGACTGATGCAAATATTGATGGCATCTGCGAGTGTTGCATTGTTTACTATAAAAAAAAAACAAGATTGTTTTTATTTGAATAAACAAATAAATTATTCAATAAAGGTTTACTTACAAATTTATTTTTAACATCAGTATTTAATACCTTATTATTAAAAAAACTATTGTCTAATTTGCTAGGAATATAATCTAATTCATAAAATAAATAAAATAAAAAAGACAAAAATAAAAAAATATAATAATTTAAATAATATAAATTTGATTTGATCAAATTCATATTAAATTTATTTAAATTGTTTTTTTTATCATATAATAAAAAAATAAATAAATTTAATTTACTAGTAATTTTATATAAATTTGAATTTGTTATAAAAAAAAAAAAAGAATTTGCTTTATTTAAAATTATTTGTTGTAATATGTTATTATTCATAAACAATAAAATAGGAAAATCACTAGAATAGGATTTGTTTTATTTAAAATTACATTTTTAAGTTTATCAGTTTTTAATAGAGCAGTGGGAATGTGGCACCTCATTTGTTAGCATCTGACACCTAAAAGTGAATGTTTCAAAACCTGTGGACCAAAGTGTTGGGGCATTTCCAGAGGCCGATTCAACTTTTTCGACTTGATCAGGTTTTTGCCTTCCATTTTTTTAGGCTCGGAAGCCTGAGACGGTGGCGGTTCCTTTGCTTCCCTTCGACCCAAGGGGTTTCATCCGAGCCACTAAACCAATGTTGACTTGGAGCAATCTGAGCACAAGCCCAGGTATCCATTTTGACCCCTTGCAGGCCTTTTCGCCTCGCTAAGTTTGCGAGCGATCGGTTGCTTCACAGCGACTCACGACTCACATATCCTACCTCAACAAGAGTAGACTCCTTCTTGCTGTCAGCTACCCTGGCTGAAAAAGGCCTGAGGCTCCAAGTCTTGCTTTCACCCACCCCTGTTCAACCTGAAAAAACACGCGCACAACAATCCTCCACGGGTGCAGGGCCCCGATTCGGAGACTTCCTGCAGCCGCTCGCCCGTGGATTCCCTGCAGCCCCTTCGTCGCCTGAGCTTCAGCAGGCAGAACTGCACGTACTGCCAGGGCAGGAGGTGCACACACCTGCGCCGCCGAGCGCTAAGTCGGGGTTCTGGTGCGGTCTATCGCGTGACGGCGTATCCGACACAGCATGTTTACTTTTTTGTGGGGAGCCTTGCAAAGATGCTTGTGAGTTGATGTGATTCCCTTGGTTTCATAGAACGGGGCCCTCAAACCTTGCCTTCCACATCCATGCATAAGCGTGATCACAAAGACCGGTATTTGGAGTCTGTCCGCATAGATGGACACAAGCGGGCAAATTACTGTACTGCTCAGGGATCCTTTGTAAATGGCGGTTTCCCTCTATTTTGGTGTTGAAAAAGCCACATGTTTCAAATGGTTGCCACATGGAGATTTCCTTTAAGGAGCCCTGCTTCTTAAGCCGGAAACACTTGGACAGCCGCCGGGATTGAAATTCCTTGAGCTCCGTTTCCGCTAGCTCCTTCCAAGTCCCTGTGGAGCGATTCGACGCCCGTGATCAAAGGCTCAAGCGCCGGTGCCAGAGTTGGCCGGTTTGCGTGACTGGAGCCCTTGAAAGGGCGCTGACAGTCCGAAGACTCGGAACTCTGTGACCGGACTGCTTCAATTGGGCCCTTGAGAGTTGGGCCGGAAGTTTGGGTGACTGCTTTTTGGGGACTGCCGGGAGTTGAAAACCCTGAGCACCTTTTCAACAAGTCTTGGGTTTTCTGACTGGGGATCAACTTTCTCTTGGACTCCTGCGTGATGGACCTTCCAAGTCGTCAGACTTGGGTCAAGCTTGATGTTGACCTTGACGGTCGAAGAGGGCTCCCTGGCTTGACGAGCCTTCTGATGGGTGCCAAATTGCTTGGTGGGAGGCAGGAAACCATGGAAGGGTGCGTGCCAAAATCGGGGGATGCAACAAAATTGTGGCTTTCCCCGTTAAGTCCCTTTTCACCCAGGTGAAACGGGTACTCAACAAACACACACACACACACATCTTGGTTGCTGTTGACCCCTCTGCCAAAAAGCTTAACTTGTTGTGGATTCAACGGAAACCCTTGACTTCCCTTCCCCAAAAGTTGAAGTCTAAAGATCCAACCCACTATCTTCTATCAACGTATTATAAATACATATATATATATATACACAAATACTATATGTTTTCGCCTCGAGGTATCGCATCACATTAGTATTGTCTGACTACCCTGAGTGACCGGAAGCACCGATGGCTGCCCACCCAAAGTATGCTGGGGTGTTTCCACAACGGCACACCTCCAGGTGGCTTGCTGCTGTCTTCAAATCCATTGTGTAAAATGCGGAAAAAAGAAGCTCAGGCCATATCCCCAGCAACAACACGCGAGTGTGCGTTCTGCGATTGCGGAAAGAACCACAAGCCACAGCACCCCGCCGGAATTTCCGGAACCTTCCCTGAAGCTTCTTGCGCCAGACGCCAGACCACCCCGCAAACTCTGGAACCTTGGTTTAACCTTTCACCTCTGACCATTCCTTGGACCTCCAGACCTTGGACCTTTCACCGGTCTGCTCCATTCATCAGCCCCCTGCGTCACCTGGCCTGCGCCACACCTCGAGGACCTCGAACCTCCGGAACCCTGCACCAGACCACCCCGAAACATCCGGAACCTTTGTTGAACCTTACGCCAAACCCCGAAACCACCTGGCCTGCACCACACGGAACCTCCGGAACTTTGTTCGAACCTGATATTAGCCCCTTCCCGAACCACCCCCAAACCTGATCTGGGCTCAAAAACCCCCGTAGCCTTCAGCTAATTGATGGAACAACCAGAAAAAACAGAGACAAAAAACACCGTAGCCTTCAGCTGTGCACGGAAAACAAGAAAAAACCACTGGCGGGTTTTCCAACTCCAGAACCCAAAACCTCTTCTCAAACCCTTGGTCTCACCAAACAATATCTCTCCAAGTCCCCGCCTGGTCATGGAAAGCTCGGCCTCCTGGAGAAGCTCGCAGGCCTCACGGGTTTTGGCGGTGGGTCAAAAAGTCAAAACCAATGGTACCATTTTGGGGTAGGTGCACCACCCATTTTAGTCGTTTTTTAGTGGGGATTGGGATGTTCACTGGGGGTACGGGCTTTTGACCCATGGCCTTTTGAGCCCTGCATGGACTCCTTCGAGCGCGAAGGCGGGCTCCAGAAAAAGGAGATCAAGGCCTAGTCCCGTACACTGGGCATGACAACTTTCATGAGGGACCCTATGGTGGACATCATAAATGTTATTGTTTTTTCTCCATCAAGCACTTGTCAGGGGGGTCAATTCTTTAAAACTTCATGGCCGTCTCGTTTCACCTGAAAGGGACCAATTCTTCGACATAGAGTTGAACACCTGAGAATGAAGCTCAATGGACGCCATAGGCAGATCGCGATGGAAAAGGCAACAAAGAGAGCCCCACAAGAACCAGCTCACGACTTTTCTGCAGCTGGCCTTCTTCGTCGTGCGAGCAGCTCCTACGTGTTTCATAGAAGTGCACACTTGGTATGGACGTGGACTGGACAGGGATGCTCGATTTCGACAAGTATTGCGCAATGCGCTTGTGGCCGCTGTTGGCAGCTGACTGCATTGCCGTGTGTCCGTCTTCGTTGACCTTGTTCTTGTCAGCGCCAGCTTCCACTAAGCAGCGCACAATGTCCATGTGGTCAAACAGGGCGGCCAAAATCAGTGCTGTGTCACCTCTAGTGTCGGCCCTTGTCCTTATCAGCGCCAGCTTCCACCAAGAGGCGCACAACTTCCTTGTGGTCGTAGGGGATTGCCAAATGCATGGCCTTCTTTCCCTGATCAGTGACCTTGTTCATGTCAGCGCCGGCTGCCACCAAGCAGCGCACAACACATTCACGGCCATTGTGGACCGCTAAATGCAAGGCTGTCACGCGAAATCCTGCGCCTGTCTCAAAGTCGGGGTCATGGGGCCTATCCAACAGGCTCACCACCTCTGCCGTATCACCGATACGCGCGGCGCGCAGCAATTCCTCCCGGGCATCAGTGCTGTAAGCTTGAACCTCGCTTGCTTTCTGCTCCCCTGCGAAAAGTGACTAACTTTTAGTGGTTTAATTCAGAAAACCCATTCAAGTTGGCAAACAAATTCTCAAGTCCTAACATCCCTTGGCAAAATGCACCAAAGGAACCACCACCACCAGCTCTGCATCCATGGGCTCTCCGCCCCCAGCACCTCATCACCGCAGCTCGCGAGCCGCCGGAGATTCCTGATCTGCATTTCTCCGGCCACCTGGCGCCTAAGCGAATCACAGAAGCTGCCGGCAAGGTGGTGCTCCCACCATGCTGCGAACTCTTCTGACATCACCTCCTCGCCCGTAATTTTGCGGACACGGCCCATGACGCTGGAAAGTCACCATGCCGACAATGACAGGCTCATTAGCCTGGAGCACACTCAGATTTTGGGATGGCACCGTATCACGGCATACTCCGACTGCCTACCTTTGGCCCCTGCGGGGTTCCGCGGTTTTGGTCTGACCGCACAGCGACTCATTTCGATTTTTGCCGCCTGCCCTCGACTTGACCAACGCTGCGGGTGCTGTGGTGCCTGCGTGAAAGGAATACAGCCATGAATCAACAGCGCCGTGGTCAACAATGAATGCCTCGTGATGCTCAAAAAGCATGCTTTCTACTGCGTGTCAGCCTTAGATCCATCGGAATTTCCTCGCCTTGCCAAGAGATCGACCACCTACAAGCGAACCTCTGGTTAGTTTGAGATAGACCATGAGCATGTTGTTCCACTTAGAATACCGCACTGCTACAAGTACTTTGAGGATAATCCGACAAAAAATCCACAGGCAAAGCGCCTCAAATGGCCTGCTTGCCAGTAGTTGGGAACTCGGCCGTTCTCCAGGGAAATAAATCCGGGGGACATGGCTGGATGGGTGATTTGTGGCTTTCCCTTTGGGATAGACCACCTTAACCTGAAAGCGCGATTCCCCAGTCATCTTGCCCCTACTTGTTGGCTTGATTTGGTTCCGTGTTTGGACGTTAGGTGCTACTACCTTACCCTATTTGGCATCAAAAGGAACTGGGGTTCAAACCAACCATTCATGGGCTGGTCTGAAAAAGCTAATATATATATATATATATACATATGAATACACCCACTGAGTAATTATTGACCCCATTTAGGCACATTTCCGGATAAAACCGCGTGTTTTTGAAGCATTCTGGGTCATTTCCCAAGGGTGTAATCCCAGGCTGTACTACCAAAAACCCTTCGACTGGTGACTCATTTCGCCTCCTACGCCTTCTGGTCGTGCCTCTTTGCGCGCGCAGGCGTTGGACACCCTCAGAAATGAAGCCCTGGTCTCACTTGCTGAGTGGATGGCCCAAAAAAAGTTCAAACTTTACATTTACAGCTAAAATGGTCCAAACCCAAAAAGTTCAAAGTTCATGAACTCAGGAAGTGAGAGGTGATGCAAAACGCCCTCGGAACTTAAATCGAACTCCGCGGAAGCCTCGTCGATGAGGCCCAGGTTCAGCCGCAGCGCGGCCAGCTCCAACTGGCAGTGAAGCCTGGCGGCGGAGCCCAAAGCCTCGAGGGCCTCGAGGGCCTCGAGCTGCCCAGAAGCCAAGGGTTGACGTTCAGTGGATTTAGATTTAGCAGGGTTCAGTGGATTTGGATTTCCACCACTCAACCACAATAAGATCAAAAATGGGAAAAATGTTTCAACCAACGACAACCATGGAAGTTCCGTTGGGTCGCAGTGGGGATTGCAGCGGATTGTGCAGGGCTTAAGGCTGGCGGACTCCAACCTGTGGGCCATTTGCGAAGTGCTCCAAGGTCGCGGAGGGGATTTTCTCAGCCCAGAGGCCATGGGTTCAGGTCAACAAGCTCCTGCCGAACCGCAAAAAAGCTCCTGCCCGTTTTCGAATCACTTTGAGTGGGTGAAATGGAAACTGCCGCTAAACACTAAAAAACTAACAGGCTAAGGGGATGGCTGGGAGACACCAAGATAAGTTCCAAGGCCGCAAAGGGGACCTTTTGGTTTTTGGAGTACCCTCTCACCGACTACTTTCAAGATAAGACTACTTTCCGCTTGGAAAGGGGCTTTGAGCACTCATGTTAGTTGGCGGAAGGGTATCTCGCTTTACGCCTTAAGCAACCCGGTTTGGGGACCCACCCAAGAAATTGAGTGCGCTAGGCCCCACAAGGGTTGCCGTCCACCTCCAAGGAAGACAATCGTTGAAGCGGATAATGGTTTCTGCAGCAAACCGCTTGGAAACAAACTGATTGCACGATGCACAAACTTGGGTGCTGCAATGATTACATTGTTTTATGTTTGATGAAGGCAGCATGGTCGAACAAACGTTGGTGTTGCAATCCTTCCGCTGCGCTCCAGCTGCCTTCATCAAAAAAAGCATCTGATTCGTCTGATTTTAGTGAGCCCGGAAATATGCGATGCCACGTTTCAAGGAAGAGGCAAAGTTTTTTGGGGAAGACTCGTTTGGCGACTGGCCAAAGCAAGTGGGGAGTAGAGGCATACTCACAGCCTGCCACTCAAAGCAATCAATGCCCAAAATCGCTTCTGTGTAAATAATCAACAGGGGCAGACAGCCGCATTTACTTCTGGCTGCAGGTTTTGATTGTTGCTCAGCTGATGAAAGCAAAGGCGCTCAGCCAGTAAAAAAATGGCTCTGTTTGCCTTGGTCCAATGCACTGGCTGGCTGGCTGGCTGGCTGGCTGGAAACTTCAAATGGCCCAACTTTCAACATGCCTATCATACAGCACAGCTTTGGCAAAGAAAAGCAATACCATGAAAACAAAGTCACACACGGGTGTGCAATGTGAATATCAATTGGCACAAACCAGCATTGAACATACCACCAAAGTGATCTTCCCAAAACGAATTGAGGCCAGAAACAAATGGGAAGCCGTTGCCAAATGGGATGTGTCAAACCAAGTACTTAGACACCCCTCCCAAAAACAGCATTGCTGTCCTTTCGTTACCTTTCAAAAGAGGCACCACCAAAGGGTTTGGCCACAGGGCAAATGAATCTACAGCAAATGGCCCCAAAGCACCCTGAATGCAGTAGAATTTCCTGTAGAATTTCCTGCACCCCAACCTTTGACACAAAGAGAACCCGCCCAAAACTCTAGGGCTATCTTCTCCATTCTTTCCAGGAATCCTTGATTCTAGAAAACCTCCAGAAAAAATCAGGGAAAATTGCGATCGGTTGTTGAAAAGAACGATGGTTGAGCAGAATGGAAAAGGAATCAACCCCTAGAGCTTTCCACATATGGCCATGAACTTGAATGGGAACCACTGCACAAAGTGGTTGGTGGACATGATTCCACACCTAAATCATGTTCAACCCGTAGAAAAAAAAACCTAGAATAGTTGGTGTGGTTTGGACTATCGACTTAGTTGGTGGTTTGGATTGCTGGCATCAACCCCCAGAAAAACCCACTTCTCCCAAGTCGATTTTTCATCGGAGCAAATTCATATCGCGAGCCTCAATGGCATGAGCTCCAAGTAGATGCTGGGCCTCAGCGCGTGTCTCAAATTGATCCATTGCTTTTGGTGGTTTAGTGGTTGAATGGACAACGCATTGGTGCTTTATTGAAAAAAATATAAACTTCTAGTGGTTTAATGGATTCATGGAAAACCCATTAGTAGTTTAACTTTTGGTGGTTTCACGGAAAACCCACTAGTTGGCAAAAAGTTAAAGTCCTAACATCCAAGCAAAATGCACCAAAGAAAAAAGAGGACATGGAGCTGATGGGTGGATCCCCTTCTGTCGCCCTTTTAAAGCCGTCCAAGGGGGCTATGAACTAGAGGGAGATGACTGGCATTCATCTCAATGGTCCTCCACTGGCTGTTCGTTGCTACTGAAGCAAAACCGCCCAGCAAGACAAAGCTGGCTCCATTGTTCGTGGAGCCACAGTTTCGAGCGTTGAATGAATTAACTCGACAACATCGTCAGTCAAACACGAGACAATAATTGGGGCAAGCATTCTCAAGCTAACCTGAGCCAAAGGCAGGCACTGAGCATTGCTGGACAGCCACAAACCATGGGGGGTATGCCTGTTCAGCTCACCATACGCCTTTGGTCATAACCGGAAGGTCCGAATGCATGGTTCCAACGGGGGTTCCCCGCACAGTGGTTACACTTTCACTCATGTGGGCCAGGTATGTTCAGGCAAAGCCCCAACTCTGTGTGCAGTGGGGGGAAACCAACACCAATCCTCTGCTGTTGGTCATCTTTTGTGCTGACCCTGCAGCAGTTAGCACGTTTGGGGGGGAGTCCCGCAACGGTGGCGCGACAACGGGCAGGCATTCGATCGGTTCGCCGCATGGATGCGCATCTTTTCTGAGACCTCGATGCATTTCGCCGAGCGCAGCTCCAAATGGCACTCGAGATCCTCAGCCAAACCCATCGGACCGTTTCAGGGCTGATTTCTTTGAAGGAAAAGTGCAAACCGACCACTTTGGTTTTAGTCTACCTTGAAACCCTGGCTCCAACTTAGTTAACTTACGTGGACTAAAACAAAGTGGTAAACAAAGGGCTACAAAAGGCTACTTTAGTCTACGTGGACTAAAACAAAGGTTACCAAACAAAAACATAACGGAACCCTGGCTCCAACAAAGCGGTCAAAAAGGCCTTTGACTTCAACCTAGTATGCCAGCGGTGCAAAAACGGCGGACTTCTAGCAACTGACACGTGGGTGTCTCGTCTTTCCTGCTTGCCGGTGGGAAAGAAGAAGGAAAGCCAAAAGTAAAGCCACATGTTTTGGAGACTTTTTGGAGTCCCCCTGCAAAAAGATGCCCACATATCACAACAACTGAGCCACCCGTATCGATACAGTGCAACCGACCCGAGCCATGTGAGCATCCTCAAAATGGCCGTTGCCCCAAAGCTGATAGCGGAAATGGCCTTCTGTTTGCGCTCAACTCAGGTTTCGACCTCCCCGATTTGTCGCCGTTTCAAGGCAAAATTGCTGGCTTCTTTGTTTGGGCCCTGAGCAGTGGCCGTCAGCAACATGTGACGCATGGAGGCTGCGAGGGGCTCTGGTCTCTGCCAGGCACTGGAGGAAGCCGTCGCCGTTTTGAACACCGGGGGTCGCAGCGGCTGCGAACCATGGTGCCCAATGGGGAGACAAACGCACACGCAGCAAAAAGCATGCTTTTTGGGCATCACGCGGCAT